AATAGAGTCCCCCCAGTATCGTTATAAATTTCAATTATTGTCTTTTGGGTCGTCGCCACTCATTGAAAATGTGGCGTACATTCGTTGAGCGCGAGGGTAAATCACTCAAATTTTCATCCTTGAATATATAGCTGCCGGTCAAACTGTAACTGTTATAGCTTTCTTTTCTGAAAATCGTGATTGTACTGCTGATCAAGTGATCAGCATTCTAAATTCCAATAGTTTTCCCAACGACAATAAGATTAATTAACATAATTACCAACCATATCCCTTGGAAACACGCTCTTCAAAAATTAATTTTTCAATCATATTTCAATAAAATGAAATTCTATATATTTTTGTTCTTTTCGTTAAGTTATATGTTGCATCCCCAATTGGAACGTCAAAACCAAATATCATTTTATGATTGCAATAATCTGAAACATTTTATTTATGCTTTATTCTACATTTAATGAGAATTACGTCGCACAAAAATTTACAGCCGCATAGAAAAAATTGTGAATATTTTAAAATAAAATTGAGCAAAAAAATGTTAAACAATATTTTTGTTCAAACAAATAGTTCATTACTAAAAGTTATACCACTTCAAAATCTATAAAATTTTGAACTCTGCTGTCTGCGGTTGGAGATTTTTAATGCGTCATATACTGAATAAAAATTGCGGATGTGACGCGCTATTTCCTTTCGACTCCAGCGCCGGAGCATTTTTAACACTGTGTGCAAAATGCTTGCACATGTCCGACGTCTCGTTATTGTCGTTCTTCTTTTCAAATTTAACTCTGGAGCACCAACAGAGGAAAAGTTTGAAGATGATTTTAAGGCAGATATTTTAGACTTTTCAAACAGTCCTCACAGCGAGAATAAATACGATTTTGAAAATGCTTATTGGCGTGAGGATTTCAACGAATTTGCGCTCATGGGAGATCTACCAGATTATTCCGGACTTGGTAAATTAAATCACTTGTAGAACCCTTCATAAGATGCATTAAAATGAAGGTATTGTTGATATTGAATCTACACTCTGGGTAGATTTTATGAAAAATTGAAATCGGGCGAACTTCGTTGCAAAGAAAAATGAAAAATAATAGCAAATATAAGGCTATATCAGTTATTATTATTAGTTTTATTTTAGACTTTGGACAAGAGCGGTATTGGCCTGGTCCACACCTGTTTGTTTGGCGCGGCCTCTTTTCAAGAAATTCGATGTTTTGCCATAGAGGCTTGCAAATTTGTGCGTTAATGCCTCTGTATTTTGTAAAAACGAGAGATCGATGTGCACGCTTATGAGACGCGTGAGAAGTTTGAGTTGTATATGCCGGTTTCAGACGTGTGCTATTTCTAGGCAAAATCCACTCCTATGCTTGTCACGTCACGCTTGTATAATAGTTTGCCTGTGTGAATTGGAATAGATTGGAGTAAAAATTTCCTCAATTTGTGGGCTTGTTAAAGAAATTTGTAAGTTCTCACAGATTCAGATTCAGATTCAGATAATATTTATTCCGTATAGATCAACATATGTACAGAAATAATCTTTGGAATAGGTCACTGTAATACAGCTATATCTCAATATAACTATAATACAGCTTACTAAATTTAAAATACATTTAAAATACAGTTCACACAATTTTACACAAAAAATATTCATGCACGTCATAGAACATTTTGTCGTAGAATATTAATTCCAATTCCTTCTTAAACACTTGATAACTATCAATGTTTTTGATTCTATCGGGAAGATGATTGAAAATTCTAGGGATCATGATGTGAGGGGACTGCGCAGTCAGCAACAGTCTGTTTGGTTTGACAAATAAGTCTTGCTCCGCTATAGGTTTATTTCGAGTACTGCGATTCTGGTGCACCTTGCTTTCAGAATTTTTGAGGAACAATTCAGGATACTTTTTGTAAAATTTAACACATTCAAAGGCGTACACAGAGAAAGCTGGCAGGATCTGAAATTCTTCAAAAAGTGGTCGGCAAGACTCGACAGGTGTCAATGCCTTCCAGTATCTTTTACCTGCCATCGCACGGATAACTCTCTTTTGAGCAATGAAAACCTTTTCCAACATAGGCGACCCACCCCAAATTACAATTGAGTATAGTAAGTGACTTTGAACATGGGCGAAATATACATCTCTTAGCAATTTAGTTTGAATGCGCTGCCTTAATTTAACAAAAAGGTACGTGGTACTTCTCAGTTTCGCTACAACCTGATCGCATTGGGTGCTCCAGTTCATTGTATCAGAGAGCATTACACCAAGTATTTTTGCTTGATTTACCACTTCAATTTCAGCGTCGTTAATTCTGATTACAGGCGGTTCCAATTTACTAGTTTGAGCAGTATGCATTTGCAGCACCTGAGTTTTCTTTTCGTTCAATCTTAAGCGGTTATTACTGGCAAAATCTATCATTTTGTCATTAGCCACAGCAGTTTTTTCGTTCAAGGCTTTGTAGTTTCCAGCCTTTACAATAAAAGATGAATCATCTGCGAACAAGATAAGAGCGGCGACAATGATTTTTAAGGGCATATCATTACCGTAGGAGGAATAGCCAAAAGGGCCCAATACTGTTCCTTGTGGTACGCCAATCGAAACATTTTCCATTGTTGACTCAAATAATTTTTGCTCGCCATTTTCACCCACACCAAAAAGTTGAACAAGTTGTTTTCTATCAGTAAGAAAGGACTTTAACCAAAGGAGGGATACATCATCAATTCCAAATTTTTTCAGTTTTGCAAGCAGTATTTCGGGAACGACACACCCAAAGGCATTAGAAAAGTCATACAGAATCACATTGATTTTTTCTCTATTTTCCAACGAATCGTAGATTTCGGACACTAACTTAAAAAGTGCAGTCACTGTGCTCCTGCCTTTTCGAAAACCGTGCTGCTCGTCCGCAAGGAGATTGTTTTCAGCGAAATAGCTTTCAATTCTATTTAGGAAACATTTCTCAAATACTTTTGCTACAGAAGATGTTAAGGCTATTGGGCGATAACTACTAGCATCGGATTTCTCACCCTTCTTTTTGTACAATGGCTTGATTACAGTTAATTTTAGCACTTCCGGGAATTTACCAGTGCGAAACGACTCATTCACCATAAATGCCACAGGGAACACTATATAACCAGAAATCTTTTTCAACGTATCCATAGATAATCCATCCCAGCTAGATGATTTCTTTGACGGGAATAACTTCAAAATTTTTTCTATTTCAAATGGGGTAACGTCAGGCTGAGCAGTAAATTTTATTCCATTTGAAACAATACTCTCAGTACAGAGTTCAATTTCATCACTACTAAGATTTACCTGAGGTTCAACAAATTTTTTATTTAAAAAGTTGCAAATTTTCTGTAAATCCTTTTCCATTTCACCATCAATTTCAATTTGCTTAATATCATTTTCGTGTTTATCTTGGTTCAAGTTGCAAGTTTCGTTAATAATTTTCCAGGCCATACCAGTCTTATTAGAGGCTTTTAACATTTTCTGGTCATTGTGAGTTCGGACTGCATCATTTATGAGAAAGCCAACGTACTTTTGTTTACTTTTATATTTGAATTTAAGACTTCTTAATCTGTCACAGTTAGGATCATTCCTTTTCAGTGTAGATATTTGGGCACCCAAGAGCCTTAATTCTTCCTTTTGCTTACGAAGAAACTCAGAATCGGCATTATTTTTCCTATTTACTCTAATTAATATTTTCTCCTTTGGGAAACTCATTTCAAAGTACATAGTAAGCTACAAGTTCTATACTGAAGAGGAATGTGTAAATTGCAAAATTGCTTGTAAATACGTTAATATATTTTTCCCTGCTTTTCATTTTTATTTGAAAAAATTGTAAACTGGTGGGTCGTACGGGAGATATTATTCCATTTATTTATTTATTCTCCATTCACTGTTAACATTTTACATAAAAAAATTACACTCTACAAAAAAAGCGGAATCATGCATCGACTTATAAAATTAAAGTACAAAAAGCAATATATAGCTATGATAATAATAATACATCGAATTTGGCAAAAAGTGGACGCGCCAAGCAAACTGGAGTAACCCATGCCAGTATCGCTCACCGACCATTGCTCGAATCGACCGTTATTGAGCAAAGAATACCAACTCCCTTGAGTCTCCCTTGCCTGCTCAGAGCATTCCCGAATCACCAATCCATAATTCATAACAGAATAAGTATAAAGCGTATTAATACACCAGAAAGTGTCGTTGCAATGTACAGGCGGAAATTTGTTTGATGATGCTCATGGATATTCGCCGTCCCAGCCAGCTGATTTTTTTTTTTGCTATTTCTAATTTTACTGCTTGCCAATTTATCTCCAGTTCCGTATTTTTAAGGTGTGTGGTGGTCTACTGGTGATGGCAGCATGGCACCCCGACCTGCTGCACAACTACAATCCTCCCCGCTGGCCCAGCTGAGCCGCATAGCACTCGTGGCCTCGGTTCTGGGACACGTGGTCCAGGGAGGTATCCTCGACTACCTGAATGTCCGCACTGGCAGACAGGCCACGGTGGCCACCGAACTTGGCGAGGGCATTCCTTGGGTACCAAGTAAGAAATTTAAAAATAAAAAAGTAAAAGACAACGAACTAAATCAAAATCAGTGATTTGCTCGTAAATATTGATTTAAAATTTAAAAAAAAAATTTCCACGATAATTATTGGCATACATGAGCAGAGCGTACTTTGCGCTCTGCATTTCTGCGCTCAACGCAAGCGCCTTGGCCGCTGAGCGCTCAAAAATTCAGTTAAAAATTGTATATATTTTGCAACATTTTACTTACATTCAATTTGTTTATATTTTTTTTTTACCTTCTTTAATTCTTACAGGTGACAATGAAACACGGTGCTACGACGAGCTGGGTTGCATGACCCTGGGCAAGGGTTGGTACCACTTAATTTATAGGCCATTTAATGTGTTCCCGCTCTCAAGAGAAATGATCAACACACGTTTCATACTGCACACGCAAAGGAATCCTACCGAGGTAAGCAAATTTTGTGTTTAAATAGGGATATACAAAATAAGTTATAAAACAAATCAAAGTGTGCTTACTTAATTAATTTCAAACTTCTTATCATTTAGAAATTCAGAGGGTATTAGACAGGCGATCGATTTAGCAAAGTAGAGAGTATACCAATAAGTGCAAGAGTGTTTTTATGCCAAAAGATACAAATCGGTTTCCAATTGTAGTAAATTTAGTTCAACCTTACAGTTTCCAATTGCAGGATGGTAATACTTATTGAATGATTCGTCTAGTAACTAATGAGTTGAATTTTGGAGGGGGGGGGGTTAATTAATTTTTATTGCTAAGCACGAGTGGAAGTCTTTTGAATTATTTGAGCACGCGAGTGCAAAATTTTCAAAATCTTAGTGCGAACACCGAACACACTGTTGCCCTACGAGCGGGAGCGCAAACTTGATGAGAGCGCATTGCATTATCAATTCGATTCAATTCATATTATTTTTCCCCGAACAAGTCAGATTTGCAAAATATTCTTTGCAAAAGTTTGGAAAATCATTTGATGCACACGATTATTATTTTATTTTTCCACATTGCTATAAAATCATTGTTTACTTTCAATTTTTGAGCAATATTTTATTTAAAAATAAAATGATATTTATCCTATCATGCGTACGCAGCTAGCCGAATATTGTACTCTTTTGTAATCTGGCTCTACACATATGAAAGATGTTTTTTAAGCGCAGAAGCGAGTAATCAGAGCAATACTGGTGTCCAATATTGGCGAAGTAATGCGGCACTTGACTCATGTAGACCACTATTTGTGAAATTTGGAGTTCTTACAGTCTATTCATTATATATTTTGAAGTGCGTTAAGTTTGTGCGTAAATTTCCTGAAAAGTTTAAAATGAATCGTGATGTTCCAGGTGTTGTAGTGCGAACTACGCGTGCTACCAGCTATGTAGAAACAGATTTATTTGTAAGGCCAAGCTCACTAAATTGCGTAAATGAAAATCCGGAGATAATGATTGCCAGAATATACAACAAATTACCTAATGTACTGAAAGAAATATCTGACTATGGCAACTTTTTGTTAAAAGTGTCAAATATGTAATGCCGAAATATCAATTTTATGATATGAACGAATATTGGAGATGTAATTTTAAGCTCTTAGAATTAACACAGTGAACTGAGCTACAGGGTTTTCGGGGGTGGTTTTCCCCTGTAGTAAACGAGGAGGGGTAGTAAAGGAGGAGAGTTGGAGTTGAGCAGCCGCAGCGAGTGGACGTGCCGGCACACCGCTCGCGCGGCAGAAAAAAGTAGCGAACGTTTCGCTGCTTTCCTGCAATTTTGGTGCACAATTTGGACATTGTCTCGTGACTGCCTGAATAGTGTGACTTCTGTGGCCCGATATTTTTGGAAGCAATCAAGATTTTCTAAAGGTCAGTGAAGATGGACGCCAAGAAATGTATCAGGTCTGCCTCGCAGGGACTGGCTGTTTCTCAAGAGAGCGAGCTCGCCCAGCTTCTTGCAACACAGGGTGAAGTCAGAGATTTATTGAACGAAATTCTCAAATTTTTGAAACTGAGTGACACGTCCGACGCTTCGGTGCAAAAATTATCTGCTGCAATCGAACACAGCGTCAGCAAATTTGCGCGACCCAGTTCAGCGGCAGGTGCAAGCGGATGCGTGCCAGTCAAAACAAACAGCGTCAACAAAAATGCAGCGACTCAAAAGACGAAGCGAAACATCGTGAAAATGAATGACAACAAGGAGAACGGCAAACAACTGCGCGCGGTAGCGAAAAACGGTGAGCAGCCGAAATCTGCTGACCATCTCGGACACACAGCTCCTGCGGCTGAGAGAAAAGATTGGACCGATGAAGACAGGGCCATGCTTAGGGACTTCAGAAGAATAATTCGGCAGAGGAGATCTCCTGAGTACCAAGGCAAGGTTAAGTTTGAGTATAAATGTATGGACATCGCTGAAGCGGAAGAGGATGTTGTCGCCCACCTAGTCGGAGCTAACCTGAAAAATACCAAGGGTGCGGCGAAGGCCTTGATTGACAAGTTTGGCGCCATCAACGCGCCGGGCTCAAATATTCGCATCGGCAGTATCGTCATGCAAAGCATAGAGGGGGATCGAGCGATTTGGCACGTTGCATCCAAAGAGAGAACAGGTGACAAGAAGCACAAAAACCCGGGAAGGTTTTACAGAAATGAGGTGGCTGCTCTTACTGCTTTGCATGACAAAATGAGGGAACAAAAACTTCAGAAAATTGCCATAACTAAATTGGGAGCTGGATTGGATGGCATTCCATGGAAATTCACAAAACAAAAGCTGAGAGAGATCTTCGCAGATGATGACGTTACTCTGGTAGTGCACTACCTTCCTCGGAGGGAAGAGTTGCAGCGCGCCCCTTCATCTCCGACAAACAGGACCTGGAGAACTGCTGGGTCGTGGACGCACAAGTCGAAGAGCTTTGTCGTAGGTAAAGCAACAAAGAAGCAAAGGACACTGCCCGTTTCGGATATGCTTGAGAGCGGCTCTTCGTCTAATGCAACACTGGGAGGTGACGAGGAAACGCTGCTCGATCGCCTAAACGTCACTTTGAGTAGTATGAGATCGGAAATACAGCAGACCCGACAGAGCATCGAGGAGCCGGCTACTGAGCGTTGTTCGTCACCAGGAATCTCGACATTCGTCCCTGAGGATAATAAGCAAATAAACTCACAAACATGTTCTTTTGTTTCAGCTGCGCTGCCGTGCCACTTAATCAGCAGCGATCAACATGTGGCAAGGCCCGCAGCTTTCCCCGGGCAAGGCAGTGCCCCATCAGAATCTGCCAAAGTCACAGCAGGAACAGGTGGACAAGCTAGGTGCACACCGGAGACCTGTAAAAAAGCTGGGGTGCCCTCCCGTGCGCCTAGCCCCACCTCATCGCCAGCTAATAAAGGTGATAAAAATTTAAATCAGACTACCAATCCTGATGAGGTACGCACTTGCAGTCTGGAGCCCAATAAGCTACCTGGTGGGGCTGTGTCACAGACGAGAGGGACTGGATGGAGGGACGCTCATGACCGTAAACTGACTGCATTCTTTGCTAACCTCGAGCGTGAAAGCGCATTGCTTCGGGAAGGCTCTGTCGGTGGGGGTAGCCTACCCCCGCTGCCCCTACCTGTTTTATCTCAAAATCCCCCCCGACAACCTTCCACTGTTATGGTGAGTGGAACTGAGAGAAGTCTTGCAAAGGAGGTCCTAATTTCTTCTTCGCCCGAGCACCCAGTCTTAATTGCGGCCCCAGAGGCACCAGAAACAGTCGACCTGACAAGTTTCATGAATGACCAGATGGCCGGAGTGAGACGCAGCATCGATGCGTTGACTGAACAATTACGTGAGTCACATCCTGAGGGCAGGAAACGTTCACTGCAGAAAGTAGCTGCTACTCGCACCAGTACGCTGCGCGCTTCAACCAAACCGTCTCCGAAGATTGCAGCACCATCGCCTTCCAAGTCCGTAACGATTAATTACAGAAAGAGCTCAAAAAACGCAATCAGCAAGTCTCTCCACAAGGTCGCGTAAAAAAGAATGGTCAAAGTAAAGTTGAAAATTTGAAAATCGCTCTTTTAAATATCCAAGGCGTTAAATCTGCAGAAAAATTAGCGAATTTCGAAAATTACATAACTAATTTGCGCGAAAAGCCCTCAATCATTGTAATAAATGAGCATTGGCTCTGTTCTAAGGAAGTCAAACATTTTAGCATAACTAATTATAAAACTGTTACTTTCTTTGGCCGTAAGATAAGAGAAAGAGGGGGAGTGCTAATTTTAGTCAAAAAAGGCCTCAAATTTAATTGCAAGAAACTATTTCCAACTTCTATTGAATTTAGATTCGAAACTTGTGGAGTTGAATTGAAGGTTGCAAATCGAATTATTACGCTTTTGACGGTGTACCGACCGAGTAATCCTGAAAACAGAGATATTGAGTTCTTCATTGAAAATTTGGAAAATCTTATTGAGAAGTTTATAAGTCCAGAGAAAGAGATGTTACTAGTTGGTGATTTGAATGTTGATCTTAACTCAGACAATGCTGATAAAATGAAATTACTGAACTTAATGGATGGCTATGAAATGTCACTGGTAAATGGAATCGAAGCTACCCGGGTTACAAACACATCAGCAACTTTGATTGATCATGTATTTAGTTCCTTAAAGTGCTCGCATACTTCTTTTGTCAGTGATGTATTTTTTAGCGACCATAGAATGGTGTCTGTTAATTTTCAAATTCCAATTGAACTCGATAGAGATTATTACAAAATTATCAGGAGATTCTCTGACAGTAACTGGACTGAATTTTTCCACCTCTTAAGTACAGAAAGTTGGACCGAAGTTTATGAAAGTGATGATATTGATGATATGTGCTGTAAATTCATGGATAAGCTTACTATGTACTTTGAAATGAGTTTCCCAAAGGAGAAAATATTAATTAGAGTAAATAGGAAAAATAATGCCGATTCTGAGTTTCTTCGTAAGCAAAAGGAAGAATTAAGGCTCTTGGGTGCCCAAATATCTACACTGAAAAGGAATGATCCTAACTGTGACAGATTAAGAAGTCTTAAATTCAAATATAAAAGTAAACAAAAGTACGTTGGCTTTCTCATAAATGATGCAGTCCGAACTCACAATGACCAGAAAATGTTAAAAGCCTCTAATAAGACTGGTATGGCCTGGAAAATTATTAACGAAACTTGCAACTTGAACCAAGATAAACACGAAAATGATATTAAGCAAATTGAAATTGATGGTGAAATGGAAAAGGATTTACAGAAAATTTGCAACTTTTTAAATAAAAAATTTGTTGAACCTCAGGTAAATCTTAGTAGTGATGAAATTGAACTCTGTACTGAGAGTATTGTTTCAAATGGAATAAAATTTACTGCTCAGCCTGACGTTACCCCATTTGAAATAGAAAAAATTTTGAAGTTATTCCCGTCAAAGAAATCATCTAGCTGGGATGGATTATCTATGGATACGTTGAAAAAGATTTCTGGTTATATAGTGTTCCCTGTGGCATTTATGGTGAATGAGTCGTTTCGCACTGGTAAATTCCCGGAAGTGCTAAAATTAACTGTAATCAAGCCATTGTACAAAAAGAAGGGTGAGAAATCCGATGCTAGTAGTTATCGCCCAATAGCCTTAACATCTTCTGTAGCAAAAGTATTTGAGAAATGTTTCCTAAATAGAATTGAAAGCTATTTCGCTGAAAACAATCTCCTTGCGGACGAGCAGCACGGTTTTCGAAAAGGCAGGAGCACAGTGACTGCACTTTTTAAGTTAGTGTCCGAAATCTACGATTCGTTGGAAAATAGAGAAAAAATCAATGTGATTCTGTATGACTTTTCTAATGCCTTTGGGTGTGTCGTTCCCGAAATACTGCTTGCAAAACTGAAAAAATTTGGAATTGATGATGTATCCCTCCTTTGGTTAAAGTCCTTTCTTACTGATAGAAAACAACTTGTTCAACTTTTTGGTGTGGGTGAAAATGGCGAGCAAAAATTATTTGAGTCAACAATGGAAAATGTTTCGATTGGCGTACCACAAGGAACAGTATTGGGCCCTTTTGGCTATTCCTCCTACGGTAATGATATGCCCTTAAAAATCATTGTCGCCGCTCTTATCTTGTTCGCAGATGATTCATCTTTTATTGTAAAGGCTGGAAACTACAAAGCCTTGAACGAAAAAACTGCTGTGGCTAATGACAAAATGATAGATTTTGCCAGTAATAACCGCTTAAGATTGAACGAAAAGAAAACTCAGGTGCTGCAAATGCATACTGCTCAAACTAGTAAATTGGAACCGCCTGTAATCAGAATTAACGACGCTGAAATTGAAGTGGTAAATCAAGCAAAAATACTTGGTGTAATGCTCTCTGATACAATGAACTGGAGCACCCAATGCGATCAGGTTGTAGCGAAACTGAGAAGTACCACGTACCTTTTTGTTAAATTAAGGCAGCGCATTCAAACTAAATTGCTAAGAGATGTATATTTCGCCCATGTTCAAAGTCACTTACTATACTCAATTGTAATTTGGGGTGGGTCGCCTATGTTGGAAAAGGTTTTCATTGCTCAAAAGAGAGTTATCCGTGCGATGGCAGGTAAAAGATACTGGAAGGCATTGACACCTGTCGAGTCTTGCCGACCACTTTTTGAAGAATTTCAGATCCTGCCAGCTTTCTCTGTGTACGCCTTTGAATGTGTTAAATTTTACAAAAAGTATCCTGAATTGTTCCTCAAAAATTCTGAAAGCAAGGTGCACCAGAATCGCAGTACTCGAAATAAACCTATAGCGGAGCAAGACTTATTTGTCAAACCAAACAGACTGTTGCTGACTGCGCAGTCCCCTCACATCATGATCCCTAGAATTTTCAATCATCTTCCCGATAGAATCAAAAACATTGATAGTTATCAAGTGTTTAAGAAGGAATTGGAATTAATATTCTACGACAAAATGTTCTATGACGTGCATGAATATTTTTTGTGTAAAATTGTGTGAACTGTATTTTAAATGTATTTTAAATTTAGTAAGCTGTATTATAGTTATATTGAGATATAGCTGTATTACAGTGACCTATTCCAAAGATTATTTCTGTACATATGTTGATCTATACGGAATAAATATTATCTGAATCTGAATCTGAATCTGAGTTAAATGCTTGCCCACCCCCGCCAAATATCAATGGCGTGCGAGCTCCCTCAATCACTGAATGTTACATTTGAAAATTTGGATGTAGAATAATGCTATTTTATTGACTTGTTGTAAAGACAAATTGGATATGTACTATACGTATATGTACATATATATATTATGTACATGAAAATGACGAGGAACTTGTGAAGGAAGTGAAAACTTTGTACTTCAACACCAATTCTATGACTTAAACGAATTTTATCGTTTGAATAATGCTGTGTATCTTGACTTATTTTAAAAAGTGTTATTGCTACTGCATATTAATGCTTAACAAAATAAAGAATATTTGAAATTGAAATGTCTAATGCAATAAATTTTGATCTAATCTAATCTAATGATTCATTAAATTCTCGTGATCGTAATTTGTGCGGGCTGAGCTTTCTGATCAGTTTAACAAGCAAGTCTTGCTCTGCTATAGGAAACATATTTCAATTGCTTCATTCAATAATTAGGAATATTCTCTTAACGACACTTAAGAGATCACACAAAAAATTAGCTGCGTCTCGCTGGTTCCTTCTGCGCCCGAATCACACGCTGACGAGACTTTTGCTTTGGCCTGCGCTACTAAAAAAATCAAATCAACAAACGATTTTGCTTGAAAGTTTGTAGGTTTCAAAGCAATAAAAAGCTATTGAGACAAAATGGTCAAAAGTCCTATTTTCACAGATGACAACGCGTTTCGTTTAAGTTTCCCTCTTTCTTTCAAGTCTGCTGCGGTCGAGTGGTAATAACAAATCACGATTTTATATGCACCTATTTTGCGCGCGCGGCATTAGAAAGCTCTTTCGGCATCAAAAGCCTGGGCTAAGTCTCGTCTCGAACTACACACGACCTGCCTGTTAATAGCTATAATAGAGCGCAAAGAGCAGTCATCCGAAAGTTCAAAAGATCTCATCATGGAGTTTTTATTTTGCTATATTATTGACTTGTTGTAAAGACAAATTGGTGATGTATTATATATGTCTAATGCAATAAATTTTTATCTAATCTAATCTAATCAAGTTCTAGGTCACATGCTTTTATAATAAAAAGTGCATTTTTTTTAAATTTCATTAAGATTTCTGAATTGCACATAATGAATTTTTTTCCATTCTTGCTTGCAGGGCCAGGTTCTCAGTGCCCAAAATGATAAAACTATCAGAAAGTCAGAATATGACGTGAAAAAGCCAACAAAGATAATCATCCACGGGTTCATTGATACTACTCTCAGCAATTGGGTCAAGGTAAGAGTCTTTTTCGTCCGTGTCCAACTAATCCTTCACTTAAGCATTAATTGTATGAAGAAGTGTCTTTATCTGCTTGTTTCCATTAAGTTCGATTCTTTTAAAGCAATACGTCGGAGAATAATATATCTGTAATATCACAACACGATCTACAGTAAAAGTGATGCAATAATTATAATAAATATAAATCATTTGCTAAGAATGAAACTAATTTATTTTACTACTTTCATATATCTCGCATCCATTAATATTGCAAATCATAATTTTATTTATGCCATTTTGGCGTAATTCTGTCTCTATTTAAAAAGGATTTTTTTTTAAATTATGATTCAAACATTTATTGTTACAAGAGATGTTTCAAATCTTTTTGGAAATTAATCTCTTTTAATACTGGTTAATTGCAATTATTGCGTCGAATTTTTTATTAAAATATAATGGCGTTTTTTTGATAATGTTTATTACCTTGTGGCCCAACTGGGCGTAGTTTTATGTTTAAGAGACTTGATTGTTCGCAAGAAGTACTTTCTTAAATTCAATTCAATTGTTCTCTCTCATCAAAGTCACACAGAAAAATGAAATTGCTTCGCATTTTTTTCCATTTTTTAATTTGTGAAGAACTAAAAGTTTTACCAATAATTATAATGAATTTTCATTGAATAAGATTATTCAGATTATTTTATCATGAGTATGAAAAGCTATAGCCAAAGAAAATTGTATTTTTTTTTTTTTAGCTTTTTTGAAGAGAATATGAATGTGTCATTGATTCTAGAATTAATAACTGCTATAAGTGCAATTAATGTATTATTTATTAGGAGATGCGCCGAGAGTTGTTGAAAAGGGGTGACTGGAACATAATCACAGTGGACTGGGCAGGCGGATCATTGCCTTTGTACACACAGGCCACGGCCAACACAAGACTGGTTGGCCTCGAACTGGCATACTTTATCAACCATCTCATCAGCCACTTTGGCCTTGACCCTGCAGACGTGCACATGATTGGTCACAGCTTGGGAGCTCACACAGCGGGTTACGCGGGTGAGAGGGTGCCTGGAATAGGCCGCATTACAGGTCAGTTCAATAAGAACTGAAAATCGAAAAAAGTTTTTGAATACTTGTTATACATCAGGCCTTGATCCAGCCGAGCCCTATTTCCAAGGAATGCCATACTATGTGAGACTGGACCCCACCGACGCCAACTTTGTGGACGTTATACACACCGACGGGAAGTCAATATTCCTCCTAGGTAAGTGAAAATTAGCAAAAAATTTGTATCATATAATAATCACTTGAATTTGAAGATAATCGTTAAGTTATGTTACCATGAAAATTTAAAAATATCCGTGAAAAATACTCTCAAAGATTTAACATTTTTTCTTTAAATTGAAATATTTACTATGAATGAAATTAATAGTCATATTTTTTTTTAATTAAATCCAAAATTACACTTTTAAATGATAACTTTTATTTGCTTTGATTTACATCTTGCGAAGTTGTTGAAAATGACTTATTTTAAGAAGGTGTTTATTTTCTGTAACATAAAATAACCTTTAAAGCTGCTTAAAACTTTAAATATTACTTTGATATCACTTAACAAAATAAACAAGCCTAAAATATATGTATAAATAAACGTGAATTTTGTTAACCAATTTTTGATCTTCCAACCATCAAAAGAATAAGCGATAGCTATCGCAAAGAGAAATTATTTTTAAATTGAAACACATAATTAACCCAACCCCCAATAATAGTTCAACTCTGATAGTCTTCTGTTGCTTGTGCTTGTTGCATAAAGCTTAATTTGGTCCATGCATACATTTTATACCGAACAGAGGAGTTTCTTGATGACGCACTTGTAAATTTCTGTAAATATGTTTGACTCTTTCTCCTATCTTCCTTTGACCCAATTGTAAATGGTCTGAGTGCACCATTTGTAATATCACACCATAAGACAATGATATAATAATAATAATAATTCCATAGAAGATATTCTCAATTTATCAATTTTGCTAGGCTACGGAATGAGCCAACCTTGCGGTCACGTTGATTTCTACCCAAACAATGGCAAAGAGCAACCAGGGTGTGACATAGCTGAAAACCCAATCCCTCTGACCCTGATAAAGGAGGGCCTCGAAGAGGCTTCAAGGGTGCTTGTGGCGTGCAACCACGTCAGGGCCATTAAGTACTTCATCGACTCCATCAACTCCAAGTGCCAGTACATGGCGCACCAGTGCGATTCTTTCGACCACTACATGCAGGTATATAGATTTAAATGTTGCTTCAGGATTAATTTTAACTCCAGGCCCTTATAACAGGGACGATGTTATGCGTGCAAGGAAAACTCCACGCAGTGCATGGTGATGGGCCTGCAGGCTGAGGATTATTCGTTGAGTCTACCAAAGTCCACTGGCATGAAGCTGTACACCACCACTGGCAAAGAGTACCCCTTCTGTAGTAAGTATAATCAAAATTTATCTACACGTACTGCGCTGAGATGGGTAAAAAAGAGACTAAATTTCTTGTTTTTGTACGAGATGTACATTTTTCTTGCGAATGTATGTAATTCTTAATAAATGGAGAATAAATTGACTTCCTGAAGGAAAACATTATCGGGTGACCGTGGAACTAGCAAGACCTCCAAGGGCAGAAGACTGGGTGCAAGGTTTCATGAAGATTTCTCTGCACAGTGACGATGCCATGGCAAGGAACATAGATTTGACTCCCACGTAAGCTGCATTTATATGAAAAAATGGACAAACATTTTAAACAGAAGTTTATTTCAGGGGCTATGTCAAACTGCAGCATGGTCACTCACGGACATTTGTAGTCTCCCACCCTGCAGAGCTAGGGCCAATAAAGAAGATTGATTTCTACTGGGAGTACGACATGGACGTGTTGCAGCCACGATCTCTCTGCTTTTTCTGGTGCAACGACCATTTGTACGTGTCCAGGATACAAGTGATGGAAATGGACGTGCCTCAAGACGCAAGAGGGTATTTATTTAACTTAAATCCTGCTGATGCATTTATAATACATATGAAATTTCTATTATTAGCTTATTTTATTATTCCACTCTTTGACATTACGATTGCTTCTCATTAGAAAAACAGTCTTGTTTAAAACCAGTTGAAAACTTTTAAGTGAATTCCAATAATAACAGGGTAGACAGAAAATATTTTCACCGGTGTCCATAAACCTCACGATAAAACCCCAATCTTGCAAGTACAGAAATAATCCATATAAAAAAGAGATTAACATAATTTTCAAAATCTGAAAACCAAAATATCCGTATGAAGGAAGTATGGAGCTTGCGGCAGCCCTGTATAAAAATGAGGGCTATCCCTCATAAAATTAATATAAAATGATTTCACATATCTCTATAATTACTATTATTGCAAAAGAGGGGAAAGCCTGGTCAGTACCGCACGCACCCTGATAGTGGGGTGGGATCCTTAATTTTGATCGTTCAACTCTTAAATATGAATGCTGCGCGGGTGTTTAGACTTTTAAGTGTGGAAGTGTGCCTTATCCGAACGTGGCCATCCTGTGAAGGTGTTCCGATCAGACCCGCGGGGGCCCATCCGGGGCCCTTCGAAATGCGGAGAAAACGGAACTTTTGCCCATAACTCGGTGGGGGTCGGTCCCGGCGAAATTCTTTTTGGAAGTGAAAGTTATATTAAAAAACCATGTCTGGAAATGCCTTTAAAGTATTTTTTTCCCAAGAATTTGTACTAAACTTCTGTGGGCATAGATTAGGAGGTATGGTGTGATGTTATTTATATATAAGCAAGTGGAAAATGAAATACACAAATGGAACAAGAATTAGACCCTTTTGGCCCAGACTATTCACCCAACATATGTCTATAATATATATTCATTTCGAATAGTGGGCCTTAGGATATTTTCATTTTTCTTTTATTATTAAAAATATCTAGTTTTTGCGTTAAGTATATCAAAATAGTAATTGGATTTTTATTTAATTTCTGCAGTAAACGTGACGATTCGGAGGATACAAATGTGGTTGAACTTTGCAGCCTTGGAAGCAGGAGTTACACAGACATTGCATCAAGAACAGCAGCCACCTTTTACAACAACTGCTAGGCTTGCTTTTCATTTCCAAATTAGCATATTAATTCCTACAGCTGATTATAGTGAGATAATTTTTTTTAATATTGTCAGAGCTGAAGAAAATATGCTGATGAAATAGTTACAAAACACTTTGTTAAGCTCGACCCAATATTTTTGAACTAGTCTTTCTTATTTTATTTTGCTTATGTGTTATATTGTTTTTTATACTTAAGGAAATGAAAGTCCAGCTTTGTATGGAACAGGAAGTACTTAATATTTTTACAACTTTATGCTACAAAATTTTTGAAGAGGCACATTATGCATTTTTGATACATAGATGTTTTTACGTTTCTTACTTATTTCTTGCTTAATTATTTTTGGGTGTGGCTTCCCGTTCACATTATAGTATTCATAAACAAATCATAAAAATCCTCACTTAAAATTTGGCTGATATTTGTTTTTTTCCATTTTACTGCGTATATAGGGTTTTGATTGTGTACGGCGGAATAGGGATGCGATTCTTTAAATACGAGATATTTTTTGTGATGAACTTTATACAAATAATGTGCGATTAATATTTACTTAAGTTAAATACTGCATATTTTTTATATTTTCTATTGTTACAAATGCTGCACTATTTATAATTAAGTCTCAATAAAGCCTGTGCTATTTGTCCTATTTAAATAACGGAATGTGTTTATTTTTATTATATTTTGAATATTTCCATCAATTAAGACCATACACGCGTGTAGAGAAAGCGAGTTAAAAAAAGGGTAGAAGATGACAAAACGATATACTCACCATTTTACCCTTCTTCTGGACTGCAAATTATTTCCGTGGTGTAGATTATTTGGAGCCCAATAAGCAGCATACCAACTCTGCTAGAAAAAAAGGCAAATTGATTATAGGTTGACATAATATAATATAAAGCTCTACAATATGTACATATTATTGCGAAAAATGATTGAAACAAATTTAAATAAAACAACAAAATGCATTAATAATTGTACGACATTATAGAATGTGGCGTGTAAACTAATTTTTTTTTCAGTGTTTGCTTATCAATTATCCCAATTATCTCTTCCAAATGTCTTTTGCCATACTTGACCAAAAAAAAGAGACCGCATGGATGGTGTGTGTGAGCGTGTGTCACACAATCACAACAATGAAACATACGTCGAGCAAGAAAGAAAAAAAATCACGAAGAAGAGCTCATCTCTGAATTGTAGGGAAAAAAAATACACAATATTCTAGGTAACCACCTTATGGCTTTTATCTATGTGTGCGTGTGTTTATACCACAGCTACTTCAGTCTGTGGTGTATGCTGAGATGCTGCATGCTATGATGCTGCATAATAAGTAAGTCATATAAGCTATGCACTCAAAGCACTTAGTACTTGAGAGTCTTGTTGTACTGTGTCTCTTTTAGGAGAGTTTACAGGTTTAAAGGTCTTTTCTCTCCCCTCCCAGTCCCAGCTTACACTCACAGCGTTGAATAATAGTCCAACTCTTTAGTCTGTTCTGTTAAAAACTGCCAAAACTGCCTCTCTGACACAGCTCTCTGAGCTCGAAGTAAAATTCACTATGTAACTCTCTGTGCTGCCCACTGACGGCACTGAATCTGACTGGGCCGATTGGGGCCACTCACAGAGTTGTACACTGGGCCACTGGGGGAGGTGTTTTTCATCTTTGCGTGGAGATGGCGTCGTGTGTGGTTGTGTTTGTTTGGTGGGTTTGGTGATTGTTGTCGTCTCCGGTCTCTCTGGTGTTGTCTGAAGCAAGAAGTATACTACTTCTTGGTCTGAAGTCTCAACCTGAACGTCTACTCTCAAGTGCCCAGTCTCCGTTACATCGTCATAAAAGTTTCCCCGGACCCGGTGTCTCGATTGCGCGTTCTCCAGATTTGTCATAATATTATAACACAAGCGGGCCAAAATGGAGTCTATTTTGGAGCAGCAGCGGCGCTACCACGAGGAACGTGAAAGGTTGATGGACGCAATGGTCAAAGAGATGCTGCACAAAAAGCTTGGCAATCGCGAAATAATAAATTCCGATCACAGGCTGAAGATGCTCCTGGACGTAAGAGCAAAACATACACTTTTGGATTTTAGGTAAATGGCAATTTATAATTTTATTTTAGCATTACTCCGAGAGCACAACACACTTGAAGGAGCTTTACGAGGACAAAGATGGGCTTCGAAAGGAGGAGGTTTCACTCTTATCTGGTCCCAATGAGTTTGGAGAGTTTTACTCCAGGCTCCGGGGCATAAAAGAATTCTACAGGAAGCACCCAAATGAAGTTTGTAGTAATTTTCTCAGAAAACAGGTATAATATTATCAAATTGTTACCTCCCTTTTTAGATCAGCGTGCCCATGTCTGTTGAATTTGAGAACATCACTAAAATGAGAGAAAATCCTAGCGATGAAGCAGCTAGTAAGCTAATAAGTTTTTTTTTTTAAATTAAATTTTTAAAACTGATTTCTACAGATATTGTTGATTTTACTGACGAAGAAGGCTACGGGAAATACTTGGATTTGCACGAGATGTACATTATGTACATAAACTTGAAGGGTATTGAGGTGAATTGACCTAAATTATATGTAATATTATTTTTGTGTCCAACTTTATGTTGACCAAACGCTGAGTTGACTGAATGCATTTGGTCCATAAACGCTTGGTCTGAATGCATTCAATCTATCCCAGTAGTGATTTACATTGAATTAGACTTCTTTTTGGTGCCAAAAGCTTGGGCCAAACACAAATATAAAGCGCTGCCAACTTTTTCACAATTTTGTGCTCGTGCATTAGACAAAATAGTTTACGAGACGTGCTTAAATAACTTGTTCGGTTATAATTGCAGAAAACTGCAAATTGAATGTTAATTGAAAACTGACTGTATGGCACAGTGGTTAGTGCGCTTGGCTGATAATCTGAAGGTCTTGGGTTCTATCCTGGCTAGGGTCAGGGCTTGAAAAAGTTCTGATTCTGGCCGGCTAGTTCACAAGACTTCAGTAAATCATAGGAGGTGCATTAATCACTGTGACAGGCAGATTTGGGGGGAATTGCAGGCACTTCGTCTGCAATTTCGGATGCAGTCTGGTGTTTTCTGCAGTTTCCATCAGACATTCTAGGCGAATGCCGGCATAGTTTCCATTCACAGGCTGCAGCCGCTCACCTTCCTCATCTTTGAAATTCCCAACAACCAAACCCATCCTATGCTCCTCTCTCCCCGGCCCAGTGGGTCGTAAGGTCACCGTGTTATCGGCCCTGAAAGGGGAGAACCCGAGTTATCGGCCCTTGCGATTTAGCAGTCTGTCTGCTACCGCTGGTGCCTTCCCCAAGAGGGATAAACAATTAAAAGAAAAAAAAAACAAAAACAAACCAAACAAAAAATGTTAATGTGACTGTTGCGAAAATCTAAAATTCAATTTTAATCATTTAAAGGCAAAAATAAGTTAGTGAAATTAATTACTTTATATGATAAAATTAAAGTGAGTTTTGTTCTTTAAGCAAGCAAAATTTATAAAAAGAAAATTAAAATTACTTCGCAGCTCAAAGCGTCATCAAATTCGATCCTCAAGCAGCATGTTGTAATTTATTTGATTTAAATCAAGGTTCGTGCATCAGAACAATGGAACATAACATACTTTGATAGTTGTTTGAGCTCTCTGATGGGTGCAAGTAAAATTGCATCCAATCAGAGCGCTCGGCAACAATCAAAATTTGCTGGATAAAGAGTGTGCATTTGGTCTAAGCATTAGTAACAAATGCATTGAAAAGTGACTGCATCAACATAAATTGCTTCAGATCTAGCCTGAATGCTTCCGGACCAAGCGTTTTTGGACCGAATGCATTCCGTTAACTTAGCGCGTTGGGTCAACATTGTGCTGAATATATAATTTCAATAAATTTGTATTGATTTTTAGAAAGTGGATTATATTACCTACTTGACCACTTTTGACCACTTGTTTGACATACCCAAAGAGAGGAAGAACATGGAATACCAGAAGTACTTGCTTAAGCTTCTCGAGTATTTGGATGATTACACCCAGCGTGTCAAACCTTTGCTGTCTCTGCCCAATGAAATGGACAGTGTGGCCAAAGAATTTGAGCAGCAGTGGGAAAGTGGCACATTTCCAGGATGGCCTGTGAGTGCCTTGGACTTTTTTGTACTTCTTTTTTATTTTATTTTGTTTATTATCATTTTTTTAAAGAAAGAAGCTGGCAGTGCTCTGACCAATGTAGGTGCCCACTTAGATTTGTCAGCATTTTCATCGTGGGAGGAATTAGCATCGCTAGGGCTCGATCGTCTCAAATCTGCCCTGATGGCTCTGAATATGAAATGTGGAGGGTGAGTTGTGAATAAATTGATTCTAATTGTTGCGAGCTATAATTTTGTACAGAACTCTTGAAGAAAGAGCCCAGAGGCTGTTCAGCACTAAGGGTAAAAAAGACCTTGACCCGTCGCTCATGGCTAAGAGCAAGAAAGGAAACAAGACGGCTAATTTGAAGTTGCTTGAGAGACAAAGGGAAATTTCCCATTTGGAGGCCCAAGTTTATCGGTGAATTTTAAGTTGAAATTTCAGAAAAGCTTCATTTCAATCATAAATTTTATACAGATTTGCGGAAATTCTTTCGGAGCAGAGGAGTAACACCAAAGAAAACGTTCAGAGGAAGCAAGCTCGCACAGAAGGCGAAAGAGAGGAATCTGATGAAGAGGAAAGTGCGTCAGCCTCAGAAGATGAGGACAATGACGATGTTCCTTACAATCCAAAAAATCTACCCCTTGGTTGGGATGGGAAGGTTGGCATTGCTCGAAGAAAAATAATTTAAGCTAACTTTCTCTTCTTTCAGCCTATTCCCTACTGGTTGTACAAGCTTCATGGCTTGAATATCAGTTACAACTGCGAAATATGTGGAAACTTCGTCTATAAAGGCCCAAAAGCATTTCAAAGACATTTCGCGGTGAGATTTCTATACTAATGTATCAATCAAAAATATTTTTGACATCCACATTTAAACAGGAATGGCGTCATGCTCACGGCATGCGCTGCCTGGGAATACCAAACACGGCGCACTTTGCCAACGTCACACAAATCGAGGACGCCCTTCAATGTAATAATTTCATAAAAAAATAATACATGTATAATAGTGTTGAACTTCTAGTGTGGGAGCGCTTAAAGCTGCAGAAACACATGGAGCGTTGGCAACCAGAGGTCGAGGAGGAGTATGAAGACTCGCTTGGCAATGTGGTCAACAAAAAGACCTACGAAGATTTGAAGAGGCAGGGGCTTCTATAATCCCTTGGTAAATAAGTCTCGATTTTACTTTCTGTCTTGTGAATAAATCTTACTCGAATACAAAAGCTTTTTAAACAAATTACTTACTTTTGATTATTTGAAAATAAAATCACAAAATAATTATATATAAAATAATAATATTAAGTTAAGTTACAAGCAACGAGCAGAAAAAAGGATTAAGAATATTTCTGGGGATGTACTGCTAAGGGAAGTAAAGAATCTATACAATGAGCGTTGATTCTGTCCTCATCAGTTGCCCTGGCAGTGCAATTGCTTGGAAGGAGCGTCATCTGACCAGCTCCACTGTAGCTTTGGACAAATGGACAGCCATGCTAAGAGTGCAATGGGGCCGTTGTGCTGGGACATTACATTTAGATTCGACTAGGCATGTGCTTTTATTTTACAAGTGCAAAGGTGACAGGTGCCCTTCTTAGGCTTAGGATAGAATTATCTGATAGCTATTTTCTCAAATTGAAGCCCACCCTTGGGTTTCAGCGCACACTAAGCAGCTTATTTTGTATTCTACGTTTATTTTCCCGAAGTGGTGCATCCTTGGAGGTTGGATCTATCCTTAACCAATTTTGTTACTTTTTTAACTTTCGAATTATTGCTCAGACATTTTTATTGTTTATTCTTTACAAATGAAGAGAAAAATTAATTTTAAAAATATTAAAAGCACAAAATGCAATTAAAATTTTACAATCTTTCGTACGTTAATTGAACTGTAGTTGGTCCGTGTAGGCGTAAATAACGCTGCCTTCACCTTGACTTGTTCCTTCTCCAGTCAAACCAGTGATGTGTGCTGTTGAGTAAAAAAGTGTCAAATATGCTTTATATTCACATTATTTGATAAAAAACCTGACAAGCGAGTAAAACTAGGTACTAACATGCTGTTATGTCTTTAATGGTTATGCAGTTATCAAATTACAGTTCATTCCAAAACAATGTTATAGCATTCAATTTTTCTACAACAATAAGTACCGATCTTTTACAAGACAGTATATAAGATCTTTTTACGTCACAGGCATACTCGGTGCACAAGTATATTCACCAGTTTCCCTTTAATCATGAATTTCTATTTGTGCCCCAGATAATATTTCAAAATTTAAAGATGGATCAACACAAAGAGTATAAGTATTACCAAAGCCCTCCTCTCCAGTGCCTTGGATTTCTTCATAAATCGTGGTCTCAGATCCAGGTATGCCTTTATCATTTCCTTTTGTAGTCTACAAGATATTATCTATCCTGTAGTTTCAATTTTAAACGTATAAATATTTGAAGTTAATCACCTCTCTATATTTCTGTAAGTACAATTTGAGGGGGTCGACATAGTTATCGAATCCAAGGTTGGTCATGGCAAAAAGAATGTCCTCTCCATTGATGGTTTTCCTCTTTTCCATGTGACACCGATCACTGGCCTCACTTGTGATAAAGCTGATGAACTCTGACACACACTCTTGAACACACTCTCGCGCATCCTTGGCAATCTGGAAGGCAAGTTAAACATTGCTATGAAAAGTCTGAATCCAAGTATTAATATTATAGTTCTACACAAACGAAAAAAGTGTTTAAAAATTTGTTTGTGGACATCCGTAAGCAACTCAAATCGATATATTACAATTATTTATGGAAACACAAATGCACACGTGCTTGATAATGCAATAGGGTTGGTTCATACATAAATTTTGTCATATTTAAATTGAGATGATTATTTTTAGGGGTTCATCAATTTTGCTGATTTTGTATTTTTTTCTTGCTCATGAATTAGGGTCGCAGACTGTGGCAAAAACAAAGGTAGAGCGTTTGTTTTAAAATAATACTATTTTTCCATTGGAGATAGAGTAGCCCCCATTACACTTCAATTCCTCAGTAATAATTCTTTAATTCTATACCTTCCCAGTTTCAGGAATAGCTCTCTTCATAATTTTCGCGACGTTAGCTATTGGTAAAAATCTGTCTTGCTCTCGAAGTGGCTGTCCAGGTCCTTTCATATCATCTGTGTCATCATGAGCCGAATCATCAGAATTTTCAGCCAGGACGTGGTCACCTTCATCTACACAAATTTATCAAACCAAGTTTAAATAATGCTGCTACATTGCATATTAAAAATACGTATATAACACAACACAAAAAATAATCACTGTACACGTACCATCTGCTGTAATGTACGTTCCCTCAGCGGTATGCATAAATGCAGCAACTTCATCACCACTCTCGCTGTTGTCCATGTTGGCCAATTAAGCGTTCTAAATTATGTAATTGGAGGTCCCTTTATGCACACAAAGAAAATCTTTGGTCCGCTTTGGTCGCTGAATTTACTTCTTATTTCTTGAAACGAATAAAGAGAAATTTCCTAAATTGTGTATTTTGTGCTCTTGTTTTTCTGTTATCAAGTCTATCAAGTTATGAACACAAAAATACATTAAATATAATACATACGTTTGACGCTTTTGTTTTTTAATATAATTTCGTTTTGTTTTTGTTGCTTTAGGAGTCTGCCCGTCTGCCGCTTAGCTTTTCGCTTTTGCCTTTCGCTGGCTGCTGGCTTTCGACCTTCGCCCCCTTTGGCGTTGGCGCCTGCAACGCCACGGTGACGGCGTCTGTAGGTATCTCTTGTCGAGCGACCTCGCCTCAAATGTTCGCGCGAACACATTCTCGCGCGATAAAATTCGCCGCGAACAGCGAGCATGTACAGCATGGACCTGGAAAATCAATGATGTACAGACTACGCTTTAGGGAGTAGGGACGATATAGTCGATATACCATCAAGGATCTTTAAAATTTTTGTACTGACCAAGAAGAATAAATAATAATAATGATAAGCTGTATAGAATTTTGGAACTGCTTGTTGGATACAACACTCTTCATATCCTGTATTCTCTCAAGTCGTCTACCAAACGTCAAACCAACTGCCAAACGAAATGATAACAAATAACAAATGTGGATTTTCTATGTACTTAACTGATTTTTTGTACTTTTCTAGCTCATGAAAGTGTTGCAGACCGTCGCCGCTTTATTTTTTGATAAAACAATTTTTGCAACAAGGAAAAGGCCCAATCTCTTCATCTTTTCTCTTCTCTATTTGGATTATTCACATGCAACTCCTTAATGTGTTAAAAAAGGAAGTTGTAAATAATATCTATTGTCTCTTAATGAATGGTCCTTAATGAAAAATGTTTTCTTCAATGCATGTTTCGCATGTTTATTTTTATAACATAGGAATAGCAAATTAAACAGTGTTTTCGTAGCGATTTGAATTTAAAGGTGGCTTTTGTTGTTTATATAATTTAATACACGTCTTAAAATTTATTTTAAATAACTATTTTTTTCCATAATCCATTCAATCATGACCCATTCAAAGGTTAAATGAGTTAATCAATATTCAGGTTGCATGAAGGTGCAGAGCCAAATCAATTAATTTACTGCAATGGTTGAAAAGTCAAGTTGTCTTGACTTACACCAACATATAAAGGATCACAAAAACTTTGGCTTTGCACAACCTACAAAAATTTGTTACATCTATAATTAATTCAAAGTACTCAATGGAAATTCACCATTTGAGAAATCGAATAACATTGGATCTTATGGCAGCCTCATCTTAGAATGATTGAATCTTTTCAATCCTAAGACATGTTGTACTAGATGCAAAATAAAAAATATTGGCGTTGGAAAAATCAAAGTTCAGCGTGGGGCTGTAGTCAGGCGATCAAACATTTGTAAAAGCTCACAAAATTGGCTTTGGTTGCCTACTTTACAAATCTTTGATCGCCTGACTATACAGCCCCACGCTGAACCAATTTAGATTTTTCCAACGCCAATATTTTTTTATTTTGCAACTAGTACAACATGTCTTAGGATTGAAAAGATTCAATCATTCTAAGATGAGGCTGCCATAAAAACCAATGTTATTCGATTTCTCAAATGGTGAATTCCCGATAAATACATTTTAGTTTAAATTTTCTCTTCTTATTAGATGCGACCTCAGTTCAAATTTTCAATATATTATATTAAAACTGATTAAAACAATGCTTTCCTATTATGTGAATTGGCTATTAATGTAAGACAAAATGTATTCTATTTACAAATAAATGAACTCGAATTTACAATGTTATTCATAACGTTGCTGTCGTGGAAAAATATAGGATTCCCTTCCATTTTCCCATAAGAAAAAATGTGATAGTGGAGCCGCACCCAGAGATTGGAAAATTTCCTAGACAGCAACAATATACAATATGACTAACAAAGTCATGAAGGTGAGACCAGGATGATACAAGTCTATAACTTAGCCTTCTCCATCACAACTTTTAAAGATTGTTGTTGTCAAACTTTGGTCCAGGAGTGATGCCAATGTCAGCATAAGACTTTTCTTGGTGAAGTTCAATTGCTTCAAACTTTTTCAGAACCAACAAGGTGTAGAACTTTTGTGCAACCTGTTATTTATAAACATGGAATTAGTCAAAATTTAATGTCTCGATTTTTGATAAATGAATGTGCAATATTTCTACTTGATCAAACATATTAGTTTACCTGCTTGCGACTGTTGCGGTGAGTCATTTCAGAGAAAAACATTGGCCTCTGTGACGAGCTGTCCAGTTTGCTTTTCAAAATGTGATACATATGGGCCGCCCTCTTGTTCAGCACTCTCTCCTCATACTGCTCGTACGTCTCATCCGTTTGCTGCTCTTCAGGAGGTCCAACACTGTGCGGAAATTCTTCATTGTCAAGATCGTGCCATGGGGTTGTTGGCCCATGACCTCCAGGGGTCACTGCGGGTGGCAGCTGATCGTCATAGCCCATGTTGGCCATCAGAGGAGCCTGGCTTTGATCATATCCCAAATTCTCCATAGCTGGCATCTGTTGCTGCTGTGTGTGCATCAGACTATGACCTCCCATTTGGTGTGGGGTGGCACTCATCAGCAAACTAGGGTCATTCAGACTTGGGTCATGGTGCATCATTGGTGCAGGGGTGGAATGAGGTTGGTTTCCTAACACGGATACGCCCAGGTGGTCTGCACTGGGCATGGAGTGATCAGGAGGCAGCAGGTTGGAAAGGTTTGACATGTCTGGCGGCATCACCGGGGGCATCAAAGGAGCCTGAGCAGTTTCCAATATCATCTGAAAAAATGATTTTAAATAAAGATTAATCCAAAAACAAAACATAAAGGATAAAATTGGGGTGGTGCCCTCTGCACTACCATAGAATTGCACAGGTTAATAAGAATCTTGTCTTGGCCTGACCCCGAAAAAATTTCAAATATTAATTTTCACAACACAAATTTTTTTCAATTTTATCTTCATCTTGAATCAAGAATGCCAAAGAGGCTCTCTGTGGGTGGATGGGGTCTTTTAATCTAGTGCGTTTTTAAGCGAAATTCATGCTAGGGTTGGTGTGGTTCTGTCCAACATTTTAACATTTTCCTCCCAATAAATGATTATTTTCAAATTTTTTATAACAATTTGACAACTAAATAACAATATTAATAGCAAGTGATTGTACTAACAGGCGGGTGTAGAGGCTCTTCTTCGGGAAGTTTGCGTTTCCTGCCAGGTCTTCCTTTTTGAGGAGTAGCAGGAGTCCTAGGTGGCATAAGCATGGAATTCGGTTGGTCAACTTCAGCCACGCCTGACGTGCCAAAGTCTCCCATCTGACCAAGAATAGAAGTTTCCGGCCCTCCACGTACATTTTCCAACATAAGTTCTCGGTCCAAGTCTCCAAAAGTGCCAAAGTCTTCATTTTCTGATGGTTTGGATGTCAGATGCCGCAAGTAGCACTGAGCATAGTATTTTATTAGAAATCTTTCCAATAAGAAATTATTAAGGTTTGCATGCATGCTTAGTATTTTACTATGACATGTTTTAAGGTAATATAATGTAGTATTTAGTTGTAATGCAAACAAGATATTGAATTTGGAGGTTAATTCTTTTTAAATTCACCTTGAAGAGCTGCCTGGCCGGAATGGGCCTTCCTGGCAGGGCAAATAGCTTCTCAACACCGCCACTCTCCTTCCAATGCATGAGCCGCTTTGTAGGAGGTGCCAGATCTAAAGTTGTGACTATGTCAGAGGTGTCTGAGAGTTGTGCTTTCATTTCCTCTCCAGATATATTTTTAACTTCGTCCACAATTAGTTTTCTCTTCCTCTTAGCCTTCGAAAGTCCCTTTACGGTGGCAGTATCAACTGGTGCCAACGCAAAACTCTCCTCTTCATTGTGGATCAAGGTGGTTTGATCAACAGCTCGGTCTGCTTCACTTCCTAAATCTAAAGAAAACTTAAATCCTGTTTACAATAATCTGCTAAAAAATACCAGGTGGAAGACCAAGATGAGCCAAATCAGGTACTCCTACAATAGCGTTTGCTCCGCCAATTCCGAGTCCAGCGTTGATGAGGGCAGAACTAGGTCTACTGGGGTCATCATCATCACTATGGCCTCCCATTGGCGAGGGAGCACCAACAAAGTCCATCCCATCGTCATCCGAGTCATCTGAGTGAGCAGCACGTCCAAGGTCTCCTTTCGAAACTCCAACCAACGCAGCTGCAGCAGCAGCAGCTCTGGCTGCTTCTTCTTGTACGCTCGACCCTTCGGGAGGTAGTCCTGGGGCATCTAATGGGGCATCATCAAAGAGACCACCCTCAAAGAGTCCAGTGCCTATAATATCTTGGCCAAGGTTGCCACCAAATCCGTCATCCCTGATGGGAATATCAATGTCCATTGGCTGCGGGGCTGCTGAAGTTGAAGGTCGTACACTCTTCTCGGCTCGGTGATCAGTGACATTGTGGTCACTAAAGAGCAAATTTCCCTAGTAATGTTTTCATTAATTGACTTTAATTCAGCTCCAAAGTATAAGAATTTACTTGATCGCCAGCAGATGCATCTCTAAGAAGGTCTGCTGGGCCAGATTCGTTTCGATCAAAGCTCAGCATATCCCCAAAACCTTCGTCATCCACTCCCAAGTTTTCTGATCCTGGCGCAGCACTAGTGGTTGCCAAGGCCATGGAACCATAGTCCTCCCTCATGGTAATTTCTTCAGCTCTTGATTGGTTCAAGCTGAACTGAGCCTGGATATCTACATCACTAAATTTATAATTTTAATACATAAATTAAAATTTCATTCAAAGAGTGCACACTTAAGCTCTGGAATTGCAGTCTCAAAGTCGTGAAACACCTCTGGCAAAGTGATGGCATTTACATTGGCTTCTCGGTTGTCCTCTGGCAAGTCAACCATGCCAGGACGAAAAGCCATCTTAATCTTGACAAAAGCTTCATTGCAGTCAGCCAGAAGGTACTTGGCTTTGCGGGAGTAAATTCTGACGACACCCAACAAAAGATGGCCAGATGTTCGGAGAGCCATTTTCACCTATTTTAAAATGCAATTAAAATTGAAAATCTAGCACTCCATTAGACTCTACCTTTGGCTGCAGAATTCCGTCGACAGATTTCTCAATGTTTGTCTCAAAGACGTGTGCCTTAGTCAGTTTTTTGTCCCAATGGGCGGCCAACCAAATTCGGGCCAAAGGGCCCTTCTTGGCCAAGACAAAGTGTGCGTAGAACATCTCTAAGCAACTAGAACAAATAAATTACATAAATATGCATGTAGTTCATAAAAGTTTTTAGGAGCTTTTCTTATTTTTCGGCTCCAATAAAAATATGATTGTTTTATTTTGGGGTTACGCTCCACCATTTTGGCGCCAAAGTACATAGTTTCAAGTTTAATTCAGAATTTACGGTGAAATTTCGACAAATAATGGGACATTGTGATCACGTTTTAAATCTTTGTCGATTAGAGTAACAATTTAATTACATGAGCAAATGAGTAGGAAAATTGTGCCACTTTTGACATTAGCCCCCCTCGAGCAATCAGGTTGAATTTGCGGCCGACTTAAAGCCAAAATGAAATGTAAATTACAGTGATCTCAAGAGTTTTCCCAGCAAAATTGCGTGTTTAATCAAAACTTACTATTTATTGACAGCTGTATAGATAGATTTGCAAGCTTTCCTTTCCAAATTGATGGCAAAATAAAAGATTTTATGTTTTTGGCATTTCTAGAAGACGCCTCTCTGTTGTATGTATCGCCGTAAATCGTAAGTAAAATGTAAATAGCAACGCACACAAGATGGCGGCTATAAACTCGTCACTCCCAGAAACAGAAGTACATGCACCAACTTAATACGAATTACCCGCAACTTCTTTAATAAGCGTAAAAAATCATATGTTTCCTTCGAATTTTTAAATTCAATCTTATTCAAAATTTAAATAACAAATACGTGTGTTTATTTTAACAAGGTCACTAATTACGAAAAAATGATAAGTTTAAAATATTTTTGTTTAGTTGGCAACAGCCGGTTTGGAGGGTTCATGTTTCTGTTATTAAAAAAAGGATTGGTCAAGACGCCATTAATTTTCAGTTTCAGCAACCTAAGCGGCACTAAGCGGCATGATGCTGATATCTAAAAATGGCATCTCGACCAATCCATAGGTCGTATTATTTTTGTACTGACTCTTTATTGGACAAGACCGAACAGACAGAACCTGGACCGAATTGAACCTCGTCAACCTCGTGCTCAACAATGGAAACCTCAGAATCGCCTCAGAACACCTAGCGGCGAGAACGATAAAGCTCTGGGCTTGGCTAGATAGAGGGCCAAGCTTTTGATTGGCGGCCACCGATCACGTGACTCCGGCTGCGCTCGTGCTTGTGCGGCTCGTGTGTGTTTATGTTTTATGTCCGTCTGGACCGTCTGCATCGCTAACGACGCTAGCGTTGCCGCAAACGGTGATCTCTCTTTGCTGATTTTCTCAATATTTGGCAACTGAAGTTCCATAAATCCTTTCACGATGGCGGTTAGTAATATTTTATTTTATTACAATTATTGAGTCTTTTCCATTTCTTGTTTGTCTTGTGGCGAGAGAATACTTAATTGCATTGAGGCTCACTGCGGCGGATGGGGTCTGGTCTTTTTGATCTCGGAAGTTTTAGCATAATTCTTGCTAGTGGTGGTGCCGTTTTGTCAAAAAATTCCTTTTTTTAAATAAATTGTTCTCAACAATTGATTGTAAACAATGTTTTATAACAATGTGAACGAATAAACAACATTAATTTTGATTGAAGAGTATGGAGTCAACAATAAAAAGCATTAAAGCAAGAGCGGAGTCCATCATACAGGAATTCCCTTGCACATTAAACGCATTTTACATTTCTACTCTATTACGTACATCGTTTCTTGTTTTTTACAACAATTTATTTTATGTACATACATTTTCTTTTGCAGACAATGCCCATGAACCCGAAACCTTTCCTCAACAGCCTCACTGGCAAACCTGTGATGGTGAAGCTCAAATGGGGCCACGAATACAAAGGATATTTGGTATCTGTTGATGGTTACATGAATCTGCAGGTTTGGAAATAAATCTAATAATTCAATGGATCATTTTTAACTCATTCTTATTCAGCTGGCCAACACAGAAGAGTATATAGACCACGTCTGCACCGGCAACTTGGGTGAAGTTCTGGTGAGGTGTAACAACGTCTTGTATATCAGAGGAATGGACGAAGAAGACGAGGATGGTGAAATGAGAGAGTGATGTAATTGAGACTTTCTGAGCGCATGGTCATGTGAGTGAATTTGGAAATTTAGGTTTCGTTTTCAACTTGATGTAAATTATGCATTATTTTTACTTAATTCCCCCGGGAGTGAATAAAACTAACTTCGACAAGCAAAATCAAATTAAATTTATTTTATTAAATTCAATTAATTTATTAATTCTCTCACAAAAAAAAAGATTGCAATAAAAGATATCCATAACTGAATACTTCTCTTTGTGTGAAAACAGCATCTTTTAAAAAAAAAAAAACAAACAAACAAACAAATGTTGGCGCTGGAAAAAAAAGTTATTTTATGCCATCAAGTTTCAGTCTTTCAATCAAGTTTCGCATTGTATTCGAACCAATGGAGTTTTGCACTGTACAGAAGCAGATGGAAAAGAGTAGAGATGAATATTTATTTTAACTTTTTACACATAATTTACAAACACCTATATTGTGTTTTTATCTCCTAGCAAGCATTCTTCTTTTAATTTCACTGCAGTGACTTAAGTCGCCATAATCAGAAGTCACCAGATTGCATAAAATCTCCTCCTTGCACCTGAAGTCACAACCTTTCTTCATTGAAGTATCTCCTCTTTTTACAGTAATCCTACGGAAATTAAATTGTTGAGTAATTTCTTTCAAGGTGCTACGACGAAGAGCCTAACAAAAGTATTGCTGAAAAAACATTTACCCAAAAAATGTCTCGAACAATTTGTCATCGTGCACCATCCTGAGTGCGGCTTTGTAAAGCTCAGTGGCGGAAAGATCTGCCAGCTGCAGATCTTTCCTTGCCGAGTAAAGCTTGAACCATCTAAGTGGCACCTCTGGACCAGCCTGGTTGGCTTCGGTCAGGTTGAAAATCCATGTTTCATGGTCAATAATATCCTGCAACATTTCAAGCAATTTTTTAAAGACAATAAATAAAACAAATTAACCCATTTATTTATAAATTCTTTTACCAAAACTTGGGATTCATTGTAAAGCATTAATTATTAATTTAATTTAAAGTAATGAGATTTAAATTCTTTTCTTAAATAATTATAAACTGTACTATTTTTTATTGCCTTATGGAGTGATGTTACAGATTTAATTACACTGTTGCAAATCATCCATTTGCTATGATATGCTAATTGCTACTGGATCAAGAAAAGACCTGGTGTTTTTCCTGATAGACGATTAAAAAAAGAATCATATTTACAAACTAATCATGAAATCTATAAATTCCTCTTATGCGTCGATACAAAAGTTTTGAGCAGATTTCCAAACAAGTTAAACAGCATTTCTGCCCCAATCGACACTGGTAATCTATTTTATACAAGGTATTTAATTTATTTTCAACCTCTTAACACCTTATGTTTCTTTCCCTAATTTAAAATAAAAAATTTGGAAATACCCGATTTTTAGCAACTTATGCAATTAATTTTTTTAAGTTGATGGTAAAACAAAACCATTCTAAAGTTATTTAAATCATTTAGCCATGCAAATCAACAGGCTCTGCCTTGAAATAGCAGTCGTCTGCACCGGTACCCAAAGATAACTCCTTAATCTTGTTTCACAACTATGCTCATCCCTAGTCATTACAAAATATTGGGAAACCTTCTAACAAATTTACAAGATTCAAGGAGCAGTGGTAACAAATCAAACCTGCTGAAAAGTGGCCGCGCCGAGCAGACTATGGTGGGCCCAGGCTGATATCTCTCACCCACCATCGCACAAATCAAACACGCTTTTGCGCCACAAAAATTGCCTCCTCAGCCTGCTCAGAGAACCCCCAAATCACCAGGCCGTAACTCGTAATAAACCAACCAAAATAAAGTTCATGAAGAACACGGCGCTACATATGCAATTTCCCAACAATGTAGTCTGTTTTAACTTGCATTAAAAAAATTTGTTCAAAATTAATACAAATCTAGAAAAGGGCACATCCAGCAATTATGCTAATTCAAGAAAATAAAAATATGTGAACTTGTAACAAAGAACAACTTACGAAAAGCAAATATCGGGAATACAGAAAATTCATATATAAATAATGAAACAAGCATAATTTCATCTCCTGGATCAATTTAAATTTCTCTTACCCAACTGGCGCCCTTGTAACCACCATCTGAGTAGTAAACTTTGTAATTGGGGTTGAGGTCTGTGTAGGTGGAGACGCTTCCTCCAATGTAGGCAGTGCTGATTGGTTTTGCAAGTGGCCTATTTCTAGACCTGGGTGCAAACACAACTTTGTATTCCTCAAAATGTGTGTGACCGTAAAACTGCGCTGTAATTGTCCTTTGAAATCTTTAATTTGGAATCATAGAAAAATTATTAATTTCTATTGAAGTCAGGCCTGTTTTCAAACCTGTTGATTATTCTGTCTAGCTGCTTAGACCAAAGTCCCCAACACTCCACTGATCCAGGAGGAAGGTGGCCAATTATGTGGACCTTTTCCTGATTTTCCTCAGCCTTCTTGAGCTCCTCAACCAACCAGCTCAGCATTCCATACGGATCTTTGTACTCGAATATTTGCCACCTGTATTCGGTTTCAGAAAAATAATTTTTCAATATTTAAATATAATATGCTATGCACTACTTTAGATAAGATTATATCAAAATTTATTGCATTAGACATATATAGTACAGTAGTTTCAGCCACAGCACTTTGCGCAGGCAGCTGAAGGCTAAGAAATTCAATTTCTCCAATCACATTTTTAATTAAAATAATTTTATATTTTAGACTGCCTCTTGTATCATTTTAAATTTTTAATACTTTTAAAATTTAGACAATCCTAGGAATTAAAAATTTTATTTATTGCAGAAATTAAATTGTGCATCTTGTATTATGGCATATTTTAAGCTTACCAGTTTAAAATGTAGCACAAGTTTGAATTTATGGCGATTATTCTGAATCCTGGCTGTACAAGGACAGAGTAGAATCCTCCTTGGCGTACAGTTTCAAGAGCATCCTGGGGAAGCCACTGAGACCAAGCGTCGGCAGCAGCGTCAAAAAGCCACTTGGTAGTCATGTTAGTTGGCCCAGTTGGTTTGAGCGGACCAAAGCTGCAAAAAATTATTATAATTAATTATTACAAAGATATCAACGGCCATACATGGGTGCGCTCAACAATTTAGGCTTGCGCTCAAATTTTTTTAAAAGTTGAGCTCGCTCGCGCTTTGCGCTCAAAAATATTTTTTCTTTGAAGGAATTGCGGCTTATTAGACAAATTTTGTATATATCGGCACTTGGAAATGATGAGGATGAACTTCAATTTCCAAAATTAGGATCAGTTTTGAAGTTTTTGGTATAAAAACAGTTTTTCGTTACAATTTTTGATCAAATTTTGGAATTTTTGCTATTGGTTTGAGCGCAAATGAGCGCTGCTCTCTGCGACCAATGTACCTTAGCAATTGTAGAGCAAGTAATTCAATTATTATTATTATTGTTTCTTCTTCATAAATTGGTCATACATCAAATAGAAAATAATGAGAACAGCAGCACCTCTGGCGAACAAAAGTCGCTCAAGAGAGGTCCGCGCTGAGATGGGCACCCATTTTTAACAATGTTGATTTATTAAATTTATTTTTTAATTCCTTTATTCTCTTGCAACAAGTCACATTGGGAGAGAATTGGCAGCCAGCTCTAGTAAACAACTTACTAAAAATCACTGGCCCAATTTGGCAGCAAAAGTATATTTGATTATTTTCTAAATGTCACCAACCTGTTCAGAGGATGAGCCTCATGGTTGCCAATAGTTGGATAGATTTGGGTATTGGGGAACCGTTTTGCCAGAGCATTGTTCAGCTCCTTTATAATCAAGGTGTTTTCATCATTGCTTGAATCCCAGATTGCATGTGGAGGCAGGTCACCAGTCATAATTATGTAAGAAATATCCTGAAATGAAAAATTTGTCAACAATCAAGAATGTGTATTCAACTTATGTTGGTTAGAAACTGCACCTTATGATCCTCAGCAATGTGGTTCAGGGTTGCTTCGATGGTTCTCCAGGGCATGTCGCAGCCCCTATATTCTCCCCAATAGCCTGCCTTGTCAATGTCTGCCAAGCTCTGGAGGCGTCGGTGCTCAGGCAAGTACCTGCTTTCAGGTCTGCAGCACAGAGGTTCTCCACAGTTAATGCTGGTTCCCTCCTGGTACTCGGGGTCAAAGTGAATGTCCGTCAAGTGGAGGAACTTAACTGGCGTCAGAAGCGCCTGTCAATACGTGCAAAAATTTCAGACATGTTTTGTTTAATTTATCATTTAAATATTTACCATGGGCCTACGCACAACTCTGTTGGTGCTCTTCAGAGGAGGCGGCGGCAGCGGGACACTCCATTGGAGTCGAAGGTCAGGCGAATTGCAGGGATAGCCCTGCAAAATAATGGAGCAGAAGCGCGTTGCGTCAACCTCACCGGTGCTCAGGATGTAGTAAAACTCGGGCTGGAAAACATAAATCATTTTCAAAATCACGGCCACACTAATATAAGTTCATGAGCGAATTTTCTATTTTGCCTCAACTGCTGACGGAACAAAAAATTCAATCACATACCCCCTGGAAATTATTCAAAAATTTATATGGATTTTTAAGTAGTAAAATTGAAATTTACAATGTACTGCTCCATGGCTGCTGAGCAAACTTTGCCTGATTGGATTCGCAAGGTTGAACAGAGAAGGGTGAGGGCACTGTGGACTGTAGCGTGTGAAGGACGCGACTTGGCTAGGGTGATTAGCGTGTTAATGGCTGCTCGGCACCCAAAACAACTAAAGTTGTCAATGATTAGATTTGCCCGGTACGGCGCGTGGGAAACTTCACTTGGCTCGATTTCATTTGTCTGAAAAAAAAAATTACGCTCTCATGACACAATCTTTAGTCTATAATATATGTAGCTTTCAGCCTTTCAACTAATAAAATCACCAAATTTTCTATCAACTCCCAGTTCGAAATCTGTCGAATTAAAAAATTTCAAAACGGCCATAAAATTTTATAGAAATTCACCTCAACTTGCTGAACAGCTTCTGTGCGTTCGACGAGGGCTTCCGCTTTAGGTTGCTCTTTGGGTAGGTTGCGACTCTGTCTATCGAGGGCGTCTGTAGATGACGGGCCGTCCCAGTTGCCTCCGGTGAAAGTGGACATCACCGATGTCAGCAGCGAGCGCATCGAATTCATAATCCGCGACGACCAGCTCAACATTACGGCGGCATCTTCTGATTTGACAACCTCTGAGAAAAGAAGATAATTGCTTTTTAATGATTATTTTGTGCTCAAAGGAATGAAATAAATATCCAACTTTTCATGTAATAATAAGAATAAAATTATTAGAATGACGGCCTCAAATATTGCCTGAATCGGGCAAAATGTCTACTTGCAAAATTATTTAAGTACATGTAGTGATTCAAGGTGTCCTAAAAGTATTTTTAAATTTGATACATGTCCTTAAAAATTATAAACAACAATTCGGATTCTTTGCATTTGCAGTCCAAATTAAATTAATGGAAGTGGAATCTTTTTAATTATTGCTTTTTGCATTGTCGATGTGATGAAACTCATGAAACATAAATGTGAAAGCAATTACAAGCGCGTGTGCATTCATTTTAAAAACGAGTTAATTGAATAATATATATTATATTAATAATACCGATGCTTGCCAACAAAAGTTCCCTGATTTTTCCGCTGGATTTGCATGTTTTTGCAAACACTCATGACGTTTCTTGATATTTGCCTGATTATGAGAGTTCAGATTCAGATAATATTTAATCCAAATAGATCAACATGTGCAATAATCTTTGGAATAGGTCACTAAATTACAGTTAACAAATTTTAAATACTCACACAATTTTACACTATGTCTATTGTATACAAAAAAAAATAACGATATTAATAAATTAATTTTTTTTGTAAAGCCAATACAAAGTGCCCCTTTGAGCTTGCAGAAGGTAAGCTCATATTTTTTGGGGGGTAATTTTTTTATTGCAAGTTTTGTAACTTTTCTTTCACAAATGCACCTTGCAGAGAGGGAGGAAAAATTGCTGCTTGAGGGACAGTTTTTGAGGGCAGGTGGCAGTTCGTTCCAGGGCTTCAGATTCATTGAGGAGAAATCAATCAAAAATTGGGAATTTTGTCAAAATCAATTTTATGTAATAAGATAAGTGGCTCATTCTAATTTTGGAATAAAAGTGAAAGCGAAAGGGTTGGAGAAACGTCAAATTGTAGCGTGAGAGAAACAAAATTGTATGCTAAAGCAAAATATATCCACATGTCTTGGCTCCCTCGATCGTTTTCCTTCTTTGATTGATTGGCGAGAGAGATGCATTTTTGCATTCTGATCGCGGCGGGGAAAGGTGAAAACGTGATGCGTTCTATGGGAGCAGTCGAAGCTGATTATCTTTATGTCGCCACCGACGCAATTTAAGCGCAAAACTTGCAACAACGCGGTGCCTGTGGCATTGCACTTCACCTTTCAGCCGCGAGCTGCACTTTCTTTTGCAAGCAATATAAGTTCGACGCGATTTCATGATTTCAATTTCCTTCTCATTTTTCACAAGGGAGTTGTATAGTCTGTATAGATCAACATATATGTTCAGAAATAATCTTTGGAATAGGTCACTAAAACACACTTTTGAGCGTCCTGGCCTGGTGAGGCCTGAACAGTGAGTGGACTCCCCTAGTGTGTTCGGTCGGGTTGTTGAGTGTCCCAAGCACCTTTGTGACCAAAAGGTGTGATCTTTAACCCCGTACTCCGGCGCGGCTGGGCAGCGGCGGCGGCAGCAGCAGTGGAGGGTGCAGGGGCACCAGTGACGTCATTGCCCTGCGGCTGCTGCAGTCTTCGCCTCCCCGCCAGCCAAGCCATCTTGCAACTGGCGATGACCGGTGCACGAGGTGAGTCGTTCGCAGCCCGGGGGTAGGCCGGCCGGGCATGCGAAATATGTCCGCAACCGTCTCAGAGACGGGCGGCGCTCTGACTTGGTCTGCCAATTCCTGTGCCACCTCGTACAGGTCCTCGTTCTCTTTCACAGGCATGTTGTGAACTTCCAAATTCTCCGAGAGTTTGATTTGCTCGGCAATGTGCATTCGGCCGGATAACTGGTTGATCGCGGCGTCCTTTTCTCGCAGCTGTTCGTGGACGCTGTCCAAAGATTTTCTCATCTCGGCGATCACGGCCTTTTGCTCGGCGTACTCCCTCAAAAGGTCCTCGTACTTTTCACTCAAGCGAGTGCTTTTTCTGTGTCCTTGAACTGCGCGCCGAGAGTGTCGAAGCGCGAGTTCAAATTGGCCTCCAAAGCGGCCAGGGGACGGTGGGCTCACCAGACTCGGAGGGCGCAGGCGAGCCTCGAGCGGAGCCTTGGGAGTCCGTCTTCGTCCTGCAGTTGCTGCAGGCCCACAGGGCGGGCGCGCGCGTCCGAGCAGCGCAGCCCGGGTGAGCCACGGCCTTGTTGCAGCCCTTGCACTTCACTACGTCCTTGACGATGGTTCTTTTGCACACATCACACGGCAGAGACATCTTGATGTGCAAAATCACTTAAATCCTCTAGCGTACTTTAAATCTATAGCTGGAGCCAGGGCGAGTCGAACAGAGCAGCGGAGCGAAGTGAAAATGCGTCTGTTCGCCCCTAGTGCACCAGCCAGACTGCATTCAAATAAAAAAAAGACAAACAGTATTTTTATTTTAAACTAAATGATAAAAAACCTGAATTATTTACCATGATAATTAAATTTACAAAATGAATTTCCATGAAAACGTTTTTCAGGGTGATTGGTGATTTTACCAAAGAAGGAGATATATTTATGACTATTTGGTAATGTTATAGTAGGCGGTATAGGCGGGACGTGTTTACGAGCTTCCTATTTCTATGCCAGAACCTATTCAAATTATTTTTCTAGTTAGTCTGCACGCAGACTGCCGCAGATTTCCCAACAAAAAAGGAAGTTGCGCAGTGTGATTTCGCAAAAGGACGGCTGATCGTGATGTGCATCGGCCGTAGAAATGTGCGGGAGCTGCTCTACTGGCAACCGATTATAGAGTTCCCATTTCCCTACGCTCCTGGGAGCGGCGACAGACAATATATTGCATTCGTAATTTCTCGTCAATATATAGCGCACATATGCATGTCATGCGATAATGGCCGAGCTGTTGCGAGGCCGGGAATTAAAAGATATAATTACACGCGCTGCACACACTCTCTCATTTACTGATTCCCAATGCGTCGCAGAGTGTAATAAAAATAATTAACTATGGTTCATAATGCAGTTCCGCGATCTGAAATCAACTCAAACCTGTTTTTTTTTTTGCGTCAATAATTCTCAAATAATAAAAATTGTTGGCCCCAAAAAGATGGTCAGTAAATTGGAAATAGTTATTACTATTATTATTGCTATTTATTGACTTATGAGGCGTCACCACGATGTACTTACTCATTGCGAGGCGCCGCATTTGCAACATAGTATGAAACAAGTAAAAAAAGAGTAAAAAAACAACAAAAATATTACAATTCATCAATTAGTTGAAGACACTCTTCTTTGCTGTAAAATGTGTGTGTATGTAAAAAAACGCCTCAAACTAGCTTAAAAAATCTTGTATTGAAGCTCCAAGCGAATCGAAACAGGCAATTTGTTATATACAAAGCAGCCATACAAGTCAAAGGGTTTTGCTTAGAAATTAACAAAGTCTGGGCAGGAACATGCTAATCCCCTTGTCTGATAATCATGAATTTCACTTGTTTGTTTGAAAATAATGTGGGTATTTACAAACAAATTTACATTAATTCGAAGAGGGAACTAAATACCAGAGACAGCTTCTTCTCTCACTCCTCAAATGTAGCAGGACGACGATTAAATGTTTACTTTTTAGCAATCCTCAAGCCTCAAGCTCACTGCCACTAGTCCGATGACATTGTGGTATGGGTATGTGTACCACAGTTTTTTTCTTTTTTACAGAGAAACAAGGAAACCATGGCACATATAATTTGGTATAGAATCAACTCCATAAAAAATTACTATTTGGTTAAATATAAAGCTTATAATAGCTCTCATCATGTTACGCCGAAGGTGATAAAATAAATCCGGAAATGCGAGGTTGCATTCTGTAGTGCGCAAAGCAAAAGCTATAGCGTGCACTTCTTGTCGGCCACAAATAAATTTATCTAACTTTCTAAACATCCAAAGATGACCAGGTGCCTGCGTATTGTGTTTGGATTATACTGTATAGTTATGTTTAATAAATACACAGCAAAGTCTCGTCGTGGCAGGTGGCTATATATAAGGTGCCGTTCAGTCTGGTCACGGTCACAAAAAGAGAGAAAAATCGTTTTAGTTTTTGTAAGACAATGAACCGTGATACAGCACTTTTTGACACTTTTGAATGTAAGTCGTTTTGCGAGTAATATGGTTTCAGGCAAAGTTCAAGGAGGAAGGAAATTTAAACCTAATTTGTGTGTAAGCTTTTGCTCTCACTTTTCGCTTTTCATTTCAACTGTAGCTGACGTCAGTAACTGATGTGTGATATGCAACAAAAATACGAGTGCAGGTGGAAAATAATTTAATGAAATATTGCAAATGATAAAAGAATACATGAAAATAATTTTGGATTTTTCTGAATTCGTTTGATAATCAGGAGAAAAATTAGCAGCAATAGAGAGACACTCACCAGTGGTCTGGTGAGCAAGCAAAAGAGGCGACTGCAGCAGCAACAAGAGTAGCACCCAGGTACGCATTTTTACGGTATCTCGCTCAGGCAGGTCCAACGCAAGTAGGAATCCGCTCTAATAAATTGATCACTCCAATGTCTGCATAATATGTATTTTCTGAAAACATAAAATAATATTAATTATTATTCCTTCTCTATTATTGTGTCAGAAGAAGTGATATTACATATAATTTTTCCTTCGTAATCCACTTATAGATAGAATAAGATCAAAAGATAAAAGATATTTTTTTACAATGCATTAATTGCAAAATAATTTGACAGGAATTCGCATAGCATCTTAATATTTTGCAACGTGTGACAACTGTGAAATCATTTTTTATCTGACTATAGCGAGCAATTACATGCATTATTACATCCAAAATAATTCATTTTAAATTTTGTATTTATTTATTATTGTTGTTTATTTATATAATTATGTTGTTGACCAAACGAGCAGAGTAGACTGATTGCATTTGGTCTAGACGCTCATTTGTCTGAATGTATTTGGTCCAAAAACGCTTGGTCCGAACGCATTCAGTCTAGACCAGAAGCGATTAGACACTTTTCAGTGCGTTTGGTCCAAAAGCTTCCAACAAACGCATATTTTTTTCAGTGCTTCCAACTCCTGCGCATTGTTTATTCAAAGATATAATGTATTATAGAATGGATAATTAAAGATATTTTTTTTTGTTAAAATTTAAAATATAAAAGGTTGTATTATAGCAAACAAAATTAGTGAAACCTCAAATTATTGATTTTTTTGCTCATGCATCATTATGATATTTTTTAACTTTTTCCATTTAATATACAAGCCATAAAATTCTGTCTGCCAAAATTTAATGATTTAATTCGTTTAGGTTTAAGTCAATTCAATTACTGCACAATGTTTCTGGATAGCAATTTGTAACACCTAGCTTGAAAGTAATTTTAATTTTTTGCATATTTATTTTGAATGCCCAATGATATTATTATTTTATTATTATTAAATATCTTTAATTTAATCATTTAAAGTAGTATTATATTTTAATTATAAAAAAAAAAATATGAAATGCAACTTTTATTTTTCAGTAAAGTTTAAATATATCAATTTGTACTTCAGAAAATACACATAATATTGCTAATATTGAAAAATTTTCACAGAGAAATTAATTGTCCGTGCTTCTCAAGATATCTTCGGATGAAATAAAATAAAAATAGAGCAGAAGTTATTGGTAGCGCTGAAAATAAATATGCGTTTGCTCGAAGCTTTTGGACCAAATTCATTTAGACCAAGGCGCGCTTCAGTCAACTCAGCGCGTATAGTCAACAACATAATAATATCATAGCTAAATTAAAACCTTTTTGAGTAGAAAGTTGAATATAACCACCAATGGGGGCTTGATGCAACAATGAAATGTGTTATTAGCCAATCAGAAGCGGTACCAGTTTTAAAGCACCGCTTCTGAATGGCCCTCAAACAGTGAAAATTGATTTCATTGTTGCATTTGGCCCCCATTGATAACCACTTAAACATCTGTAATCTGTCAATTACTCTGTAAATTTTATAGACCGTTGGCAACAATCTAGTGGTTTTTTGTGTGGAAATTTGTTGCATATTGTGCGGTGAATGATTGTTTTGCAATTCGACACACATGAAATCGGATGATCGCCGGCAAGAGAGAAACTGGTGGCCGCTGATAAAAGTTGTAATTAATTATTTGCACAAAGCAAACATCAATATTTATGGATTGTGTCATACTTAAAATTTCATAGATTCAGCTCTCTTGTGTGAATGTTTTGCAAGGATTGTTGAATGCAATCTCTGTATTCAGAAAGGTCGCATAATCCATACGAGTGGTTACCTCATCTACCAGCTGCGTTTTTAAAGTAATGTCAACCAAATTTGATATCGTTGGCCTGCTTTAATTCAGTTAAAAAAAATATAACATTGTCTATTACTTCATTAAGAAAACACTATGATTGAATTATAAATTATAATGGTAGATTATTGTTTTCTTCATCTCATTAAAGTTGTTCCTATTGTGGAAAGTTGCAGCCCCCAAAAAATATTTTGACTTGAGCTCATTCTCATGCACAAATTCATATTTTGAATTAAAAAACTCGCTTTAAAGATATTTTCGTTGACGTATTTAAAAAAATATAATATGCAATAAATAAACCTGTAGAAAACCAAGACTTGCTTTTGATCAGACGACTGAGCCCGACATTCACCACAAATTATGATCGTGATAATTTTTAATGTTTTAATCATCCTCAGGAACATATTACTGCGACCCTATTTCATGAGCAAACGCGCTGCTCGATACTATGATCTGCAACTTTCATGAGGAATATAATCATGGTTTGATTACCATATAAGATATAAGACAATGGGAATAAAAACATAAAAAAACCCTCTAAAACATTATTTTATTGCTCTGAAATTTTTGTAATTAAGATTAATGAAAATGTATTAAATTGAAAGAAAAGCTAAAGATGAGTTGCTTTCGAGGCTCCTTTAATTGATATTATTTAATTTTCACGGATAGCTGGGAAATATAATGGTTTTCTAGGAGTGCTGCAAATTTTAAGGATGATTTTTTTTAGAAACAAAAACCTTATTAGATTAGATCACAATTTATTGCATCAGACATAATATATAATCTGTAGAAAACCCGGAAATTATGATCCCCAGAATTTTTAACGCATTACCGAAATCATTAAAAGTCCTCGAAAATGACGAGGTTCTTGTTAAAATGGTGAAAGCTTTTGTATTAGAACACAAATTCTATGACTTGAACGAATTTTATCGTTTAAATAATGATGTATATTGACTTATTTTAAAAAGCGGTTATTACTTTGTATGTTATGTGGTATATAATGCTTAACAAAATAAAGAAATCTTGAATATACATCTCCAATTTGTTTTTACAATAAGTATGAGAAAGCTGTAGCCAAAGACATTCTTTCTTTTTGGCAATGGTAAAATCTAGACTGTAAAAATACAACTGAAGAAAAAATTAGAAATCAAAAATTTTATTTTTTGATCAAGAAAATAATTGTTTACAATTTTAATGATATTGCCATCGAGCAAGCTTAAATTTCTAAGTTAGTTGAATTACTTTCAATGCTGCACTAAAAAAATTAATACCCTCATAAATGCTATGCCAGGTAGTTTCAATTCTTGTTGAGTAATAAAATTTCCCACTCCCGTACATCTTTGAGAAGTAGCATATATATTTAATTGTACTTGATTTTTGACTGACAGGGAACAAATTGGATTCATTCAGTAAATTAATGAGTAAACACATAATTATTTTTTAATTAAACCTGACCTCTGCGATAGCTGGAAGATAAATCCTTGCAAAAACACTTCCTGATTTTTGTTCCAGCCAACCGCAAAAAGTATATAGCCTTGACCTTTTCGACAAAATGCAAAAAAAAGTGCGTAGGTCGAGCTGTGGAGGTCAATCCACTGAACCAAGTGTGCTGGACAAAAAACGTAAGAAACCAAACATGTCATGTCATGATCTGGACGTCCATTAATTACATAACTCAACATGCTATCCATAATGTTGAGAGCAAAAATTAAAATTTTAAGTAGCTTTTGCATTTGCTAAAAAAAATAAAAAGAATTATATATTCATTTTTGTTGAAATAAAATGCAGTATGTGAAATCTATAAAACTCAATTTATGTATAAAATGTTATTCTTAAAAATTGTTTACTCTTTATTGAAGAATACTGAATTTATATTAAGTATATAATCGAAGTTTGGCTATTGTTTTTGTTGTCAATTGTATAATTTATAAGTTTAGTTCAAATTATAATTGTGTGTTATTCAAGCCAAAAAATTATGCTTAATTTCAAATTTAAATAAATACAAGACTAAGAGTGAAGAAGTGATAAATGCATAATTGGATAATTTATATACCGTATTGGTATTTTTTTTTTTAACAATTAGGACCATAAACAACGAGAGTAATCTTTACATGAATGGGAAAAAAATAATAAGAAAATTTATTATTGTTCTGTGAAAGCCCCCCAACGATAAAAAAGCATGAATCGGGAATCAAAAAGGACTGCAAATTCTCCCTTAAAAAATGTAATTAAATGGAGACACGAAAATGACGTGATCTTACCCGATTTGTGAGTGAGACAGGTTGCTCTTGAAGGAAAATGAAGAGGCACTTGAGCACCACCACCACCGGCTTGTCTATGTTAAACACTAACTTTCACTCTTGGTGGACTGACTACTGATGTTCACTAGCGTGCAGACCTGCGATTGAGTGGAGCTCGAGCACAAATAATGCTGCTAGTCGTAGTGTGGTGGCGGCACCAACTCGGCTCCTGTTGTTCAAGGATCTCGTTCCAATTCGCACTGCACGCACGCGTGTACTATTCCAGTGATTAGTTTTTATATCGCAATTATGTATAATTATTTTGGAACTATTTTTTCATTATTAATGTATTATTTGACTGACCCTTATTGTAAAGATTATTATTGTAAGTTTTTTGATAAATATTCTCTTAAAAAGCAGCATAAATTCAACAAAATATGTCTTTTTAAAAAATAATAAAACATTATTTTATATCCGAAATCCGAATGCAGACAAATTGGTGTTAAAATCAAAACTTTAAAATCCAAGAATGAAGAATGATTTATTTTGTTAAGAATTATATTCCACACTTATTATTATTAATAACCGCTATTTAAAATAAGTCACAATACAATAATATAAAATTGCATTATTTCTACGATAATGTCAGGAACCGATGGCACCGGTGGTCGCTAACTGGTGCTTAGCTTATTGGGTGTAAATAGTTAGTAAATCAGGAGCAAAGGGATAAGTTATACCAGTTGTATTTATTACATGGAATTAGTTATCCGATACATATAACATAATTATGCAAACCTAATAAGCCGGTGAAGTCCGAGATCGTCAACCGGTGGGTGGTGAGTGGCCCCGAGACCACTCTTACCATGCTAAGGTGCTCTCAACTTACGCGTACGTGCGCACCAATTTTCATGTGCGTGAATGTAGCTATTAATATTGGTGCGCGAACCCTGACAATAAAATTGATTTAAGTCATAGAATTTGTGTTCTACTACAAATAAAGCTTCCACTAAGAACCTTGATGACATTTTCAAAGACTTTCAAAGATTTCAGCAAGGCATTACAAATTCTGGGGATCATAATTTCTGTGTTTTCGAAAGACTTACTTCTTATTTTCCTTTACCACCAAATCATTACAACAGAGTTTGGTCTGAATTATGTCTTTTCATTCCCCTAGTATCACACTGTATTTCCGAAAAAAGTTTCGGTTTTGCGCTAAGAATTTTACACACTCACTCATGTATTTTCATCATTATTACTAGCAAAGTGTAGTGAATCTGGTCAGATTTATAATAAACTTAAAACGGCAAAATTTCGAGCGTTGCAAGGTTGCAAGTCTCAAAATATATACTCTAAGACTTATACATGTTAGGCCCATCTTGGCGAGGACTTCTCTTTAGGCTATGTACTTGTTCGCCTGAGGTGCTGCCGTTTCTTCGAATTTATATTCCTTATTTCATGCGCTTGACTTAATTTGTGAAGAATAAACAATAATAATCTCAGCGGCTGGCTGACAATTGTTTTTACGAAAAATGTTTTTTCATTCAAAAACGATTTTATTAATTAAAAAAGTGAGATTCATTTTTTTTATTCTTTAAATTTTTCTGCGGTGGCTGGCGGCGGCTGACCGTGTGGGCCAAATATGCCCGGCTGCCGCGACTAGCTGATTGTAAGTCTAGTTTTTAGCTGCTCGCTCATTCTTTGTATTAGTCAAGCAGAGCGTGTGCTCATGAAATAGGTTGATAAATGAAATTTGTTAGTTTTAAGATTTTAAATTTTTTTCCGTTTAAATGTGGTTTTCCAACTTTGCTGATTTTTTTTACATGATTGGTCACCTGATCATCTACTTGCTGCCTAAAAGCTAGGAGATAAAATATTCAGATTATATAATTTGTTAACTTTGAAATAATGGTAGGTATTGGTATTGTCCATATTATCTCAGCAACACTTAAAAGTTAACAATTAAAAATGCCACAGAAAAATTGAGTTGCATGAAAGCATGGGTCCATAGAATATAGAAACGATATAAATATTCCATTGAGTGGTAAAATCTTCAATAGAAAAAACTTCACTAGAGTTGAAGGCCAAATTGAAGGGAAATTGCTAATTGCGGCTAATTGGTGGCAACAAGGACCTCCGCCAAAAACATTATTTTTTCAGTGTTTTATGTACATTATATTATTTAAATACTAATAGGTACAAAGATATTACTCCAATAGGCACAGGTTGGACATTTCCGAGAGCCTACCAAAGTCGCTGATTTAGGTAAACAACGCACACATGTGTCAAGGCTTACTTTAAGGGGCAACTCTTAAAGACAACGCAACAGTAAAGACATTATATACGCAACTCAATAACTCATGCATAATAGTTATAGTTGGGACACACCTAAAAAATTATTCCTCACTCACTGTTCAGTAGACCGCACACTTATTTCTCTAGTTTATGTTTATGAGTTTTAGTTATTGTTTACTTTCACGTTTTATTATTTAGAGTATTTAGACACTGTTCACAACATGTTCAATAGCTCTCTCTGCGCTCTGGGGTTACTCGATTAAATTCGGTCCCGAGCATAGTTCGACGCTATCCACCCAGTGAGTGGCACAGGCAGCAGGCAAAGATGATGCCCAGCACCTGGATGGCAGCTAGCGAGAGGCACACAGCAATCACTAAGTCCAAATTCTGCTTGATCCAACTGTACAGAGCCTGGTAGCAACCCTGAAATGATTTTAATCCTCGTTATTTTACCAATTTTTTTCTCTCATCTTTTTTTTCTATAAACTACATTAGAATAAACAATAATAATAATATTCAATTGATATTTTCTTCAATTCAATTCAATAGATTTTTATTCCATTTTAGATCAAATATTTACAACGATCTTTGGAATAAGTCTAATTATAATTAATTCAACATTCCACATTCATTCAAGTTTACGTAGCAGAGACACTCATGGATATCATAAAATAATTTGTCGTAGAACAATTTCTTCACTTCTCACTAATAAAAATATTAGTATCGTTAATTCGCTTCAATCTCTCCGGAAGCTTGTTAAAGATTTTTGAAATCATCTTGACTGTAAAAAGTTTCCTTTTTATGCAATGTTAATTTAGAAATCTTCAAGATTTGTGGTACAAAGTCTTCCATTTTGGAAATATTTCTTCTTCTTTTTTGTACTATGTTGCAAATGGTGCGCGTTGCAATGAGTAATACATCGTGGCAACGTCTCATAAGTCAATAAAGAGTAATAATAATAAACTTAATCACATTCCTGGATGTGGATTTGGAAATGAAAAACTGAAAAATAATAATAATATATTCTCTCCCCTATTCATTATTTTTATGTAATAACAATTTTTTATCATGTATTTTTAGCATTGCAGATAAATTATTGACTCCATACTCCATGTATTTTCTGGCATTTTTATATGTTATACTTTATGCCAATGCATGTGTCCGCTTTTTTTGTGCGGTGTAATTTTTTTGTGATGTAATGTTAAACAAAACAGACTGTTGCTGACTGCGCAGTCCCCTCACATTATGATCCCTAGAATTTTCAATCATCTTCCCGATAGAATAAAAAACATTGATAGTTATCAAGTGTTTAAGAAGGAATTGGAATTAATATTCTACGACAAAATGTTCTATGACGTGCATGAATATTTTTTGTGTAAAATTGTGTGAACTGTATTTTAAATTTAGTAAGCAGTATTATAGTTATATTGAGATATAGCTGTATTACAGTGACCTATTCCAAAGATTATTTCTGTACATATCTTGATCTATACGGAATAAATATTATCTGAATCTGAGCCATGAATGGAGAATGAATAAATAAATAAATAATAAATGTAAATATAATGTAAAAAGTAAAACATTGAAGCATAAAGATAAAAAGCAATATATCACGAAGAGCACATATTAATTTTAGATAAATTAATTTAGCGGACCTTGTTGTAGTAAGAGTTGGACTCGGAGGGTCTATCTGGACAGGCTGGGTCCTTGGGTTTGAAATACTGAATGTCTCCTTCTAGGACGCAGCAGGCGTTTGGCACAACTTTATTGCTCTGCTGCCACTTTTCAGACAAACTAAAGTCTCTGTAGTTCTCAACTCCACAGCATTTGAACTGGAAATTTTGTTATTGTGAATACATAATACTCCTTTGAATAAAAATCATTGCCTTACTTGAGCCATCAAATAATTCCACATCAAGGTAACGGCATCTGCTTTTTCTGCTGTGGCATAATATTTAGAGATGGTTGACTTCAGGAACTCACGTGTGTTTGTGTCAGCCTAGTTAAAAATATTAAAAATAAAATCCTAGTTTCTCGATAAAGAGTACATACCTCTGCTTTGTAGTTGATGGCCAGGCCGGCTGCAGTGATTTCAAGAGCCAAGATAGCCACAATCAGGATGGAGTACTAGAACAGTAAAAAGTCATTGATTTTTTATTTTCTCAACCAAAAGAAAAATTGTATAAGGCTAGAAATTTACTTTTAATTTTGGACGACTTGCTTGAAACAACTGAGTAAATTTCACTGGGGTAAAAATAAAAGGTTGAATTCAGTAAAAAAAAAGTAATTTTGTTTGCAAAAATCAAATCAATTTTTTTATTATGACATCAGTAGAATAACCAAAATTCAATTATTATTATCAAGGTTGACGCGCTCAGCCGATTTTGCGCTCTCGCACTCAATACAACTTTTTTCCGCTCGCGATTGCACTCCTGCTCATATGTCAAAAATAAGTTGCGTTCGCGATCACCTTTCTGGAAAAAAGCGCTCACGCTCCTAATTTGCGCTTGCGCTTAATATTTTAATTCAATTTTATATTATATCATAGATAACACATAAAATCACATTTTTGTGTTGTTTTAAACATTAGGAGAGCAACTTGAGAACTTAGAGAAAGAGTGATTTGAATCAAAATGAGTTGGTGGAGGTTGAGCTTTTGTGGTAAACTGAAATTGTAGTTTTCTCTCCCTCAAGAAATAGGATCTGGTCGTCCTATCAAACTCGCAAGATAATTGAGAGGTAAATTGAGTTGCAGGAATCTATTGGAAAGTTTCTTTTTCTATAAATAATAAAATAGTGTTGTTTATTATTAAAATAGGTATCCCAAAGAGGTCAAAGGCTGTAATATCAAATAAATTGACGGAAGTCGGAATTATTTCCTGCGCAGGCGAGAGGAGCATAAGCGGCGGCTGTTTAAATATCCAGGGACTCGATAGCACACGCATTAGCCGCCGCGTCGATCATTTGAGACACCCCTTGCTCCTACCAAATGACCGCGCGCGAGTACATATCAAAGTTCATAAATATTGAGGGTGATCCAAAAGGCTAACTTGGCCCAGGCTAAATTAACCTGGCCCGGGCCATTTGCACCCGACATTCAATTTTGCTCGTGGGCTAAGTTAGTCAAGTTAGCCTGGGCCAGGTTAGGCTAATTTTTAATGAGGCACGCAGCAGCCACACTCGGATTCTTTTGGTGTTTATAGGCGGTGCTCAGAGTCATTTTACACCAAAACCTCTGCTCCAAAGCATGGAAAAAGATATAGAAGCTGCTTATTTATTCTCATCCAAAAATTAAATCACACCAACCAATGTGTAAATAAAATAAAATTGGTGTTATTGGTGCTTATACGACTTGCGAGCAGGTGTTTCAAGATTATATGTGTACTTTATTCCAATTTTTTTTTGTCAAGCTGTTATGGTCGTTTGCTAAATCAAAATACTTATTGATTCAGAAGAATAAACAAAATTAAATTATACAGTCATTGTTTAATTTTCCAGCTATCTTTTAAACGAATTTGTTCAGTTATTGAGTATATATGACACCAAATCCAAGTCTTCCAGATCAGCTGCGGTAATCCAGTTGCAGTGTAGCATAATTACCACTGAGGGAACGCGATGCGATTTGAGCGCACGAGGCAAGATGGAAAAAATGTGAAAGCAGCAAAACAAGAAAGTTCCGAGCAGGTTTAAAATCAAAACCTTAAATGGATTGGCGCGATCAACGCATAATTTAATACACTTTCACGGTCCATCGACTTAGCTTGACAGAATTGCTTTTCAGATTTGTGATTTAAAAATAAGGCAATTGAATCCCAAATTTCAATTTATTCAGAGCGCTCAGCTAATGACGCATTGTTTTTCCACGTTGGCAAGTTAATCAACTTTTCAAAATGAAATTCTAGTACGTTGATAATCATGGCAAGAATGTTCCTAAAGATATTATTATTATTTATTCTTCTCGGTCTGTACAAAAATTTTTAAAATTGGAGAAAATATATTTTAGTTCTTCCCTAATATCTCAAAATTTACTGCTGAGAGAGAAAAAGCAGCAAACAAATAATACATCTCTGCAATCAGCTAACAGCACCATTCAAAATAGTGAAACCATGCACTGCTGAAAAAAGACTGCAAACAATAATTATGCCATATATTAAAGGTAAATCTGAAGCATTAAAACGAGTGATACGAGAATGTTTAGAAAATGTAAGAATTGCTTTTACGAGCAAAAATACCCTCCTAAGACAACTTGTACAATATGTGAAACCCATATCAGAACCCTTAATTGTTAAAAAAAGTTGTTCTTAAAATTGATTGTAACAAGTGTGACAAAGTGTACATTGGGCAAACTAAGCGCGACCTAACCAAGAGAGTTAAAGAGCACTAAAGTGCTTTCCTTTTATAGACTTATGGTGTGATACTGCGATACAATAATCTGGGCAGCTTAATTAGGCCACCCATTTGCATTTTATTATACTTTAACTTTAGTGGCGTTTTTGTTGTGCAGGTCAAATCAATCAAATTAATATTATTTCAATTTAAGATAATTATACAAGGTATCCAGACAAAATCATCACGACAAGGTCATGGATCACCGGGGTCCTTTAGTGACCTGGTCACTATGTGCAATACGTTTTTAGATCGCTTGTGCAAAGGTGATCACTTTTTGTAATAAGATAATTTGGGCTATCTGAACCAGAAAAATGCTGTAATGATTCAAACATATTTGAATAGCAAAAATGATAGAAAAACCGCTCTTTTACCTTTTTTTATTAATTTATTAACGAGAAGCGCAAGCAAACTCGTTTCATGAACAGAGCCGACGCAAGGAGGTTATTTTGCACACAATATTTAGCTAAATTGTTAATGTCACATTACGTTTCAAATGAATGATGACGCTGCAAACGCATTGCAAAAGACAACAATAGAAATGAATCAACAAGCAGTGTTGAATTTATCCGTAACATTCACTATCGGCTGATTTACAGTGGCGTGAATTAATAATTTATTAATAGACAAACGCCACATTTATGAGGTCTGAAAGTGTTCTTTACAATCGCCCCCCTCCAAATTAATTTTTTCCCTTCGCACGCACTCAGCGAGCCTCGGCCGTTGCACCCCGTGGACAGTATAACAAATAAATAATATAAAAAATAATTCGTTTTTAAGGGGAAAAAATTATATTTAGTTTCAAGAATAAAAAGGAACTTACAAAATATATCATTAGCATCTGAAGGTATTATTATATAATCCCTTTCAGATCAAAATTTTCACACAGGTGGATTACAAATTTAATTTGTCACCATTTGATAAAATGGACTGAAATTGACATTGACTGCCAGAAATGGGTCACTGTTATGAATTCGGTTGTCAATGGTCCCAACATGCACCTCTGACGTTGATTATTCATAGCAACAGCAAAACAATGAACGCTCCATGCTCTATACGCCTGAATACAGGCCAGGGCTGCGCAACTATATAGCTTTGTTTTATAAAAAAATTAAAGGCATAAAATTGCTTTTCTTTTGAATGCAAAAATTTCTTTAACAACAAAAATAAATGTTTGTCTATTAAAAATCCTCGATGGGAAAAACAATAAACGACTCACAAAATTCATCGAGGAACTACGCCGTTTTTCAATACTAAACTCTTGTGCGTGTATAAGTTAAATAATAATTTTTTGAACGCTTCATTGCACTTGTTCCACAAGTGTAAAATAACACCTCCTGCAATGAGGGGGCCGTCCTACGACACAAGGTCACGAGCACAAAGAAATTCCTCACTGACTTATTTGATGCGCTACAGCGCTGGTCCGATATATTATACAAGTTTATTTCACCATCAATACAAAACCCTTTGCTGGCTCAGAAAAGTCTTTTTCGCCACAAAATTAATTAGATTTTTAGTTACAAAACCATAGCATATATTTTGAGATATCGGCCCTTGCGATTTAGCAGCCTGTCTGCCACCGCTGGTGCCTTTCCCAAGAGGTATAAACAATGTTTAAAAAAAATTTACACTATTATAATTTTCCAGGTGTTTGCCGCAGCCATAATTTATGAGCCTTCTTGACAAAAGTCAAAAGAGAAGACTTAAATCATCAACTCAAATAAACCAAATAAATCTCGAGGTTAAGAAACCGGGAAATTCTTCATCAAAATTTAAAATTGTTAAAATATACGTGAGTTAAAATTAATTTTCTTTCCCAATGCAATTTTAGTGAAATTTGTGGTACTATAAAACATGGTTTCCAGTACTCACCGTGCCGAGCATGAAGGTTGACTCTTGGTATGCTCCGCAGTATCCGAGGCAGCTGAGCACAAACACAAAGCCGCCTGCAGCGATCAAAATCCAAGACGCCTGCTCAATCACGGTAGGCTGCGAGAATTGCTGGAAACATTTTGTATATGAGATAATACTGTTTAATGAAATTCTTTTGAAAATCTAGATTCAATATTTTCTAGGAACTTACATGCAGGGCTGTGTCCTTTGAAATTTGAGTTAGCAGCCGGACAAACGAATTCTTGTCGATGGCCAGCCAGAATCCGACGCTCAGCAAAATCGCACCAGCGATCTGCAGTAAGTGAAGAATGATAAAAATATTATCGTGGTGCTGACGATTTATTTATTAGAGCGACTACACTTACAAAGAAGAGAAAGTTGAACAATTTGAGGCAGTACTTGGCCACCATAATGCCACAATCAGCCGCCATCCTCGAACTTCTCAAGCTTGTTTCCTCTAAAAAGTTTAAAATCAGTAAAAAATTTCTCATTTTATCATTAAAAGGCTTCTAGAAAGTAACAGTTGCAATCATTGGGGTAAAAATAATTTAAAAATATCATATAATTTCAATATTAAAAAAAAAGGGGAAATCCAATATTTTGGAAATGAAGCGATCGGGCTTTTCCTCGTTGCAGAAAATTGTTTTTTATTCAACAACAAAAAAGCCCGATCACTTCATTTCCATGATCATCTCCTCGAGTCTCAACTTCTTCAAACAAATCCAATATTTATCTGGAAAATATGGAAATTGTGGTATAATTTTGGTCACCTAATATAAGTGAATAGTGCCTTAATTATACCATAATCCATTTCAAACTTTTAAATTAAGCAATAATTTGTTTCTCCATTCATATAGTTTAGGCCGCAGTGCGTTGAGCAGTCAGGCATTTAATTGCCTCTTTTGGTATATCTGAATGGAGAATAAATAAATAAATTCGGCTACATGACTTTCAGTCTCTGTGAGTTGTTCACTAGCACTGTTTGCCCATTTCCCTCCCAACCAATTTTTCACAATTGATTGGGATCCTGACTTGGTTGGAGAAAAAAAAAATTAATAAAAATTGCACTATATCGAATCAAGTAAAATTTACAGTATTCTCGGATAATTTTTCAAGTTAATTTAATTTGACTTAAAAAAAAAAGAAAAAATCACCTCCTCTCTAATAATGAGCCATAAAAAGTTAAGGGAGTGCGAGAGACTTGAAATGTGCATAAGTAACAACAAATGACATATTATAAATTTAATTCAAAGGCAATGGACCTTTTGTAAAAAATCTACAAATTGCCATACACAACTGGCTAGTATTATGCACATTTCAAGTCTCTCTTGCAAAGTAAATTTAATCTCTAGGTTTTTGAAAATAATATCAAAATAAAAGAAATAGAATTGTTGCTTAAAGTTCTCCCACTGTTAAAAGGAATAATAACAAGAATAATTTTTTTGCTGATAATTTTTTCATATCTTAATAAATGAATAATAAAAAATATTATTATTATTGTGTATTTAAAATAATGAAAGTTTAACTCTCACTAATCCAATCATCCGCAATCTTTAATACATACTCTCAATTTCTTATGAACATATTATTAATGATACAATTTAATGAAGTTTTAATGATCCATATTTTGAATATTATGAGTGATTATGAGTAAGATTTATAAGATTTATAAAAAAAAAATAAAAAAGGAACACCCCATATTATTATTATTATTATGCGCAATAACATATGATCTCGACCATTATATCGCTTAGAAAGGCGCTTGACGGCTCACTCAATTCACTTAAATTTATGACCGAGTTTTAGGGTTACCTTACCCGAAAAGTTGAATGACAATTAGGAACTCGTCACAATATTTCGAGTCGGCGTCGGCAACAGGTTTTGTCACACAATTCCTAGGTTAGCCCACGTACAGTATAATCGCAAACGGGAAAGGGCAACACCACAAGACTGACACTAGTCCACTAGTGACACTTGATGACTGAACTGATAAAACAAAAACTCCTGCCTCCTGCGTTTCCAAAATCCGAACTCTTGTTTGATCCAAACTTCCTTCCCAGCTAAGAGGCTTGCTCTGGTACTCTGCTACGGCACTGGCAGTGCAGTACTGGCACTGGCTTGGGCGGCTTGGCTCTCTCCTCCAGACTCTCCTCTCGCTTTAGTTGCGCACACATTAGCTTGTTGATGCCTCTCCCCTTGCCTCTCCCTCTACCAAAAACTGCTTCAAATCACCCCTCATGCTCATTTACTATACGTCTTTCGATACAGTCGCTTTTGGCTTTCTCTTTCGGCGCACCAAAGCTCGCCTCAAATGGATACATAACTGAATGCTATGCAACCGTCTAAGCTTCTATGCTCTGCGAGTTGCGTTTCATATTTTTATTATTTTGGGTTTTATTCCTTATTCGTATTCTACACTCAAGTCATTACCTAAAATTGAGACTTTAAAAATGAGCAGAAAAGTTTATTGTTGGACAGTCACTCTCCAGGGCTTGACGAGTTAATGACCGTGAAGGAAACTGCCAAACTTTTGGCCAATTGCAACGTACATAAGACTATTTCTAATCAGAATTTTGTTAGGATCATGGAAATGAGGGCAAAATTGAAATCCAAAGCCAACACAAAAATGTGTATCCAACTTGTTTTCAAATTGCTTATTTATTTTGCTTAAAAACATTTAATAAAGACCTCTTTTCATCAAAGTGAAATTATGCAAGGAATTTTTGTTCTACTTTTGAAATTTCATGCTGGCGGAAAAATTGTAAAAAAAAAATCCTTATCCTGATCCTGAAGTTTAAACGATTTTGCAAAACATTCATACTTCGACTTCTGACACGGTCAAGCAGTGTCGAGCCGGCTGCGGAATTTTTGAAAATTTACCAACACCAGCAATCAAATATTTTGACTGCTGAGCCAGCTGACCTTGCTGTCAACGTCTGCGGCGGCCGAGACCGCAGTTCTCTTCATTTTCACGAAAGTGCGCAAGCATTTTGACTGTAGACCAAACTGAACCCTTGGCCCACGTTGCCAGCGTTTGTGCGGAAAGGAAGGATAAAAGGACCCGAAGTTGTGTCTGAAATTTTTATTAAATAAACATATGATTATGATTTCTTAACTTTTCAAGTTGTAAAAAAAATTATCAGCATCAGAATTCGATTCAATTAATTTTATTTTTCTCCAAACAAGTCAAACAATCAATTGTGAAAAATTGGTTGGGAGAAAAATAGGCAGGCACACAGTGCTAGTGAACAACTCACACTGAAACTCATAGCCGAGTATTTACCAGGAGGCGATAAATACCCGACTACTCGCCGCACTGCAGCCTAAAATTATGAATTTATTTATTTTTATGTCCTTTTACCTGTCACTGGAGCGTTGACAGTAAAGTCTATATTCGTGGTGGCATCGTTGAGTTTTTCTCCACAAAGTCGGACTCCACTGACCACAATGTAATCATCGGGACAGTTAAAAACTCCAGCTCCTGCTTGGTTGACTGGAATAATACTTTGGCCCCCTGAATAAAAAAAAGCATTTTTTTATTTTTAGTGATACTTTTCTTCAAAAGTTTTGATTTATTTGAAAATATTCACCTCTTTCCACATTGACAATCTGAAATCGAGACTCCTGACCAGCCACGTTGGTGTTTCTGTAGGTGATGCTGCAAGCCCCAGGCATTTTCTTTATGCATATAGCGTAATTCAAATTATTCTATTAATGTTAAAAGTACTAAAAATATATTCAAGCAATAAAAATTACAACAATTTTCTACCGTGTACGCTCCTCCTTCGTAGTTGAAACTCTGTACAACACCTGTAGGACTGGAGTAATACTGGAGACAGTGGCTAGGAGCGGCAAGGGGCAAGTCGCGAGGATTGAGTTGTGTTATTCTAATGCGCCACCGACGGTTCACTACAACGCTGCTGTTGCTCAAGGATATAACGGTAAACCGGACAGGTGTTTGTTTATTTAGCAACTCAAAGTAAACTGTAAACAATTTTGAATTCTTTGCATTTTAAACATAAATAAATCAATCTAATTAATAATATTACTGTGTTGGCCGGTATTGGATCCGCACAACGGTGGCACTGGACTTCCCTCATCCTGTCCACTGATGATCATACGATCGTTCTGGCACTCACCAGCGGTCGGATTCGATAACTATATTATTAAGTTTTTTTAATGCAGTTGCTTTTTGAAAAACTACAAGTTTTACCTGGAAAAATTCAAAATCAACTCTTACATGAGTGACCCAGGGGTTGGTTTTCAAGATTTCAAAATAACAAGATTTTGGGCGCGTTGGCGTTGGCATGATTTCGGGAAAATTTGGACTTTGGAAGTAACTTCCGTTTGCCTGAAGTCGGTCCCCACAAGTACCAATAACTGTAAAAATTAAATTTTAATAGCTTTCTGTTTATTTATATTGTTTTAAACGTCGCCTTACAAACACAACACACTCCAAATCCATTGGCGCAAGAGCCACCAATAACCCCACCCAGAGCTACGCACTCACTGTCAGGGTAGCAGGACCCTACTAAGCCATCCTCAGAGAGGCACTCAGAGTTGGAAAACCGCACCAAAGTCAAAAGGTTCAAAACTGGAAAATAATCATATAATTAAATTTAATCGAAAATTTTGACGTGACTGACACGTGAGAATTAAAATGCAGTGAAATTAAACATTTAATTATTGCGTGTCTTTATTTATAAAAACTTTACGTCTCACAGTTGGGTGAGTTTTAGCTTGAGAAATTCACGATTCGTTAACACTGAACGTAGAGAAAGTGAATCCACCAGAAAATGAAAGAGAAACGATGAAAATGAAAGAGAAAGATGAATATGAAAGCCGGACCCTAAATTTAAAATATAAATTTTTACTTCACATCACGTACGTAATGCACTGTTAGATTAGATTAGAATAATAATATTATTTGGGTTTACCGCGGCGGCCGTGTCTCTTTTGATGTCGGGCGTTTTAGCAGACATCTGCTAGTTGTAAACCCTTTCTTCTCTTTTTTCTCCAATTTAAAAATTTTTGTACAGACCGAGAAGAATAAATAATAATAATAATAATAATAATTTGTTTGAAGAAGTTGACACTCGAGGAGACATGATTTTTTGTATTTTTTCTTGCTCATGAAATAGGGTCGCAGACCGTGACCGAAACTGGTAGAGCCGTTTGTTTTTGAATAAAAACAATTTTTTTGCAACGAGGAAAAGCACGAATCTTCATTTCCAATAATATTATATATATACTATACATGTATGTATTTTCATAGCTTCAAAATTTTTACCAGAAAATTTGTAAGTATATTTGAACGATTTGAATATAATAACCTAAAACCTGGCTCAGGCTACCATATTAAAACGCTCTGCAATTTAATGATTTAGCATCCCAGCTGCCAGAATCAACTTTTATCCGGATTTTATCCACTCCACAGAGGATAAAAGTAGACTTTGGCAGCTATTTATAAATATTAAATTTAATTTAGCAGGTGGGCTGCCCAAAATAATTTATTGTATTGCAGTAAATCAGTAAATAATGATAAAAATAAATTATATATCTAATTTTTTATAATTACATCACTTACACCGCGCTACTTCCTCGTCCTTGGCCTCTTTGATAAAAGTTGAGGTGATCCCGTTGGTGCCAAATTTGATCTGGTTATCTTCATCCTCAATGACATTTTCATCCAGAAAAGCATCACTCTTTAACTTAATCATCCCCGGCTGGCTGAGTTCGTACAATAGGTCAGCCGTGTTTTTCCGAAGAGGAGGCGCCGCCACATAATGAATCCTCCAAGGGGCGTCCTGCAATCGGGATCGTCTCCCCCAATATCCGCGGCTGCGAGTCTCTGCCAGGAGCAGAAGCACCACGACAAAGCTTGACACAGCTCTCATGCCTCAAGTGGAATGATACGGCAGTGATCAAGTTCCCCGCTTTGCAGGTTTGGTGGACGCGCTCTGATTCAGGCTAATTTTTCTGCTCAAAGGAATTATAGAAATCGAGGGAGTTTTAGGTAGAACAAAATAATTTCTAGAAGCGGTTTACCCATTAATAAGCTAAATTTTATTCCATTGCATGCTTGCATAAATAATGGACACAAAACAAGTAAAAACTTTGAGGCCAGCTCAGAAAAACAAATTAAACAAATCATATATAATATAATATATACCAAATAAAGGGAGGTTGAAACTAATATAACAGCAAAAGAAAAGAGAAAACATGCATTTTCTTAAAATTTCTTGTCAACACCCAATCAGAAAAGTTTGATTTTCAAATATTTCAAAATATTCCAGGATATTGGCGATATTCATCCAGTGTTATCACATTCTCTTTCAATAAAAAAAAAAAAAAAAAAAAAAAAACATGGCAACAATATTAAAAAATTCTTCTTGCTGATTGGGCACATATGACTTATTAATTTGTGCTGTAAAAGCTATAACATTTTTTACAAAAAATAAATGGTAATGTTATAGTACGCGCGACGTGGTTCCTAAAATCCCTGATTTCAGTTGGCATCACTTGCATTATGTCGCGCGTTCAATAGTGGTTTTACGTCGCGCATACAATACTGGTTTTACGTCGCGCGTTCAATACTGGTGGCGGTATAATTGTTAAGAAAACCGATTATTCCATCGATACCTCGGCAACATATAGCACGCGCGACGCAAATCTTTTCCTACAATCTTAATGTAGGGGGCCCTTGGGATGGGTTCAGAATGGGGCAAGACGACCTCCGGAGGGCCGTGCGCACCCTTATAGCAGGCGCGACGCATGTTTATAGGACGCGCGACGGGCCGTAAATCCAGTGAGGGGCAAAGCGAATTCCAGAGGCCGGGCGCTTTTCACCATCGTAAGAGGCGCGACGCATGGTTATAGTACACGCGACGCATGCCGCATGCTTATAGTACGCGCGACGCATGCTTATATAGGAGGCGCGACGCACGACAAATTAATTATTACAAAAAGTGTTGCAAGCGGCCGGAGTTGTGGGCACCCCACAAACCGGCAATTCGGAGGTGGGCAACCCCATGATTAATTTTTGCAGAAGCCGCGAGCGAGGGGTGGAGGCGCAGCGAGGTCGAGGACGTGGGGAAGGCCGTGCGGAGGGCGAGGACAAAAGGGCGGCTGTGTTCATGAGGGGACTCCGCAGGAGCCCCCTCACGAACCCCGGCCTTTTGTCCCGCCCGGAGCCGGCCTTCACCACGTTCTCGGGCGAGCGCGCCTCCAGCCCGAAGCTCGCAAACCCACAACAGAGTTGCTTACTAAAGGAATTGTTGCAAAAAGGGCTTAGAAAGCAAAAAGTGTGGTGCCCACAACTCCCTTTGCAGACAACACCTTTTTTGGGCAACGTAAATTATCACGATCAAATAACAAAAGCTGTTATTCCTTTCTTTATTTGGGGTATAATTATGAGTGGAACCGGCTCCAATCCATCGCAGATCAAAATATCACATCCAGTTAATACTTTCCGTTTTCAAAATTCACTTCGTCACTCTAAAAGGAGGGATGAAAATCTTTCTTAACGATACATATTAGCTAGACCAAGCTAAACATTTAATTGGTGTGTGGAAGTATTGTTAACATAGTGCTCATGAATGTATCATCGATGCATACATATTGTATGTATAAACAACAGTATAGGTCTTTGCCTATATAACCAATCACACCAATAAAATAATGTCTCATATGCGGCAGGGACAATAATTCATCAATTCTCCACTCCTCAGTGGCTTATGAATTGTCGAAGCTCCCCCTTGGGGATATAGACTCATCTGCTTCGGGAATCACAGAGTCAGCCTCAATCCTTTGCCTTTCCAAAGTAAGCCTTCGGCGTGTCTAGAAAAATATTACATAACGTGAAACATTTCAACGCTCATTTTACAAAATGTCTACCTCTGGAGTCAAGTGCACAATCCGACCTTCAACTTTGGGGCACAACTCGCATGTTTCCTGTTCCAAATCATCAATGCTGGCTCTACGGGTCAGTCTGTTGCGTAAAGGTGGAGGTCCTCCATCCTGGTCAATGATGCTTGAACGACGAAGAGGAGGAGGCGCGTCAGAGTTCTCAGTTGTCTCCAGCATTTTCACCAAACTGTGCCTATATTGATCAAACTGTTAATTACTAATTATATTTTAAATTCAACTTATCTTTTTTTTTAAGTTTGTGAATAAAATCGACAGAAGTTTATTATTTTGCTTTTGACGCAAAGAATAAAAAGTGCCGTAATGAAAGTGAAAAGATAAGTGGAAATCATAAAATATTATTTTAGAGTGAGGAAGTTGGCACTCGAGGAGACGTCCATAGAAATGTTAAGAATGGGCTTTTCCTCATTGATTTTTTTTTTGTTAAATTAATAATGAAATTTTTTTACACAATGAGCTAATAAAATTTTTTTTAATTATTATTATTGTTGTTCATTCTTCACAATCTGTCACAAAATCAAGTTTTAAAATCAAAATTTAAAATTTAATTTTTATTGAAAATAATGACAACCTTTTTAGGTCAAAACCTGAGACCCTATGTAATGAGACATTAAAAAAATCAGTGAATAAGAATTTCATGAAATAGGGACGCTGACTATGACCAAACTGGTTGAGCTGTTCAACTTGATTTTTTTTTTTTTTTTAATAAAAACAATTTTTTTAACAAGAAAAAGCTTGTATTCACCTCAATACATATTGCTGTTTATATAATCACATTGTTACAAGAGGAGCTTATTATACGAGAGCCTGGCTAGAGGATAAAGTTGCTGTAGAAAAGGGTGAAAAATAAGGCAAAAAAGTTACTTCAGCAAGGAAGACTTGGGCAGGAAGAAGAATTTCCAGAGCTGCAAAGCTTCTGTTGCAAATAATATCTCTGTGAGAAAAAGAAAACTGCATGCATAAACAAGTTAAGAAATAAGGAGGGGACCAGCCAAAGAATTAAGAATTTAGGTGTGTTAAAATAGCAAAACTGAGCAGGTTTTTTGTGTGAATTTAATACTAACAATTTATAAAAAAAAAATAAAAGAAAAAATTAGACGGTGCCTTCTGCACCGCCATTAAAGGGCACATGCTGGAAATAATGCAAGATTAAAAAAAAAATACCTTCTTGATATAGTAACCAAACTCTGCCTGTGCTTTGTGTGGCGCTTGGTCTGGCCTTGTCTCATTTTTATGGCATGAAAATGGTTCTGGATTGCCGTCCTTAACTCAACACAGTCGTCAGCATCAACCTACACAAAATTAAATAGTTTGTGTAATAGATTATTATTATTATTATTGGGGGATATTCACATGCTAACATTCTTATGGGATTTTCCGGTGCTAACTTAGCAATGCTTATTGTTTATTCCTCACAAATTACGTTATAATTATTATATAAAATATTATTATTATTATTTATTCTACTCAAGTCATGCAAAAAAAATTGAAATTGGAAAAATGAGCAGAAAGGGTATCACAACTAGCATAGGTCTGCTAAAACGCCCGACATCAAAAGAGACACGGCCGCCGCGGTGAACCCACACTATATTGAAAAAAAGAACAATCTCAACACTTTAAAATTGCTGCCACAAATACTGCTTGCAGAGGGAGGGAAAATTGCTTAAGGGGCAGTCTTTGAGGGCAGGTGGCAGGTCGTTCCAGGGCTTGACTATCCTAAAGGAAAAAGCGCCGCGGCCGAACTTGTTGCTGGGTCGAGGGAGGCTGGAGGCTGGAGGCGGCGGTGCTGTTCGTCGTCGCCTCGCAGCTTACGACCTTTGGTGATGAGTCGGGCGCGCGCGTCAAAATCCGTCTCGCCGCTCAGGCACTTTTTGAACCTGAGGTGCTTGTCAAAGGGCATCACTCTCTGCTCGTGCGTCGGCGGCAGGTTGCGGCCGTAGATGAAGTGCAGTGCAGTGCCCGATTCTGCACTCGATCAAGTTTTCTGACGTTTTCTTTTATCGTTGGGTGCCACGCAGGGAGTCCATACGTCATTACCAGCTTTACGAGCGAGAGGCATGCCACCGAAGGTCACGGGAAATGCCGAGGATTTTTTGCTGGCTCACAAATTCAAGGACGGTATCGCCAAGGATGTAAATAAAATCAAGGGTTTCGCCTGCGTGAGTAATATCGATCACTTTGCACTTTTTCGCGTTCAAACTCATCCCGTTCTTGGCGCACCAAATTTCCACGTTGCACAGGTCATCTTGAAGTTGGTCTCTTCCTGGCTAGTAATTGTCTTGAAAACAGTAGCGTCGTCGGCGTACTGGACAATAGTGCTGTTTGCCACACTCTCCAAAATAAAGAAAATAAATGTGAGGAAACCTCTGGCAAACAAGTCGCTAAAATGCGAAGCCTCAAGAGAGGTCCGCGCCGAGATGGTCCGCAAGATAATTATCACTTTAATCACAAAAAAAAAAAAAAAAAAAAATTGTCACTGCCACACAAAATTTTGGCACAAGGGAGGGAATTGTTGTGCAGAACAGTCTTTCAGGGCGGGCGGCAGGTCGTTCCAAGGTTTAACAATGCGAAAGGAGAAACTGTCAAAGCCGAGGTCGGTGAGCGCAGGAGCGCTGGAGGGGGTACATGGGGTCATCGCCTCGTAGGTTTTGCCCTTCAATAATGATGCGCTCCTTCGCGTTGTAGTCAATGGTGCCGCTCTCGCACTTCTTGAGGAAGAGCAGGTCGTACCTGAGAGTGCTGGACGGACAGCATTTTTTTTGCTGCTCGCAGGAGGCGGAATATGACGTCCGTGGATGAAAAGCTGCGCTCTTCTTTGCACTATTTCCAATTTCAGCATATATTGATTTAAGTTGATGAGAGCCACGCCGGAGTGCTGTAGAATCGGTGCGGTTTCACTGGAGAGATAAGCAATTCTTTTCACTCTTTATAGTGTGCAGACAGACACGTACGCGTTGAAGAGAAGGGGGTCCCAAAACACTACTCAGGATGACTGCAGAGGTCACAGGATTCTGATTGCGCGCCATTGAACAAATTGCGTGAGGTCGATGAGAAAATTTTTGACAATTATTTTGAAAAATTGTAAATTTCTTTGAACATATCGAGTTGCAAATAAGCGAGTTGTGCTGAGTGTGTTTAGTATTTAATATTTAATGCAATATCATGTTCCACACGCAATAAAGATCATTGTTAATATTGTAAGTTTATTGGATAATTACCAAAATTTTTGATTCTCTTAAACAGTCATAGCCGTCTTTTCCTTGAGCAACATATTTCTTAGTTGCAAGTTTGTATCTCTGGTCTAAGCTGAGGTACTCGTCTCCGATTCTCACAAATTGAGGGTCCACCCTCTGGCCTGCAGATGCATTTGGATCAAACCCAAAAGAAATTCCTGATACTTGTGGGAAGCGACCCTCCAGTCGAGGATACTGTGAAACACTGTTCTCCAGCATTTTCAAAATTTGGGAGCCTGAAATTATTACTAAATCTTTGAGAGTTTATATAAAAATGACTGATTTTCACCAGTGACTGAGAGGACAGTAAGACAATCCATCATGGGCAACACACTCATCAAATCCCTAAGTGTGAATTCTCCAGCGCAATGCTCCCGATCAGAACGCAATGTGCCAGAGTTAAGGAGTACAAAGTCAGCACCAGTAGCAGCAAGAATTACGTCGCACACCCAGTTGCCTAGATTGGTTTCTGATGTCCTAATGCTGGCAAACCTGCCATCAAGAGGAACTGCAAATGTGCCAAGCACTTCTTCCATTTTTTCAGCAATCACAGCTGGAAAAGAGAATTAAAATTAAAAGTATAGCTTACTCTGCTAATATATAAATTTTTAAAACAAAATACTAACCTGAATACTTCTCAAGCTCCTTCTTGAGTCCATCATCTTCAGGGTACTTTGAGGTGACATTGATCTCTTCAATATCAACATCCACATTCTTTCCAGTAAAGGTTAAAGTGATTTTAGACATTTGACGGAAATCGGTCCCACTTTTGATCAAGTATCTCCCATCAACCTAAAAAATTTTAAATTTAATTTATTTTAAATGGTTTTCAATGATGAAGTAAAAATTCTAAAATTGATTATTCAAAGTGGATTTCATGAAAACTGAAACCTTGTTAAAAAAAAAAAAAAAATGAAGAGACCCAAGAAGAGGCTGCTGGTACTTCAAAAACCTAGGCTGCGAGCTTAATATGTATTTAATATTTTTATCAAGCTTAGCAAGGACAATAGAAACCCTAGGTACCGTACAGCAGACCAAAGAGATCGTCTTTTCGGGTGAGTTACCATTTTTTAATTATCAATCATAACCCAATTATTATTACCAATTGCACATCATAAACATGGTCATGACCTCCAAGGAAAAGGTCAATCTCAGGCACACCCTCTATGAGGAGGACATCATTTGGAGTTCGCATGTGTGTGAGGGCAATTACATATTCACAACCCTGATGCATGAACATTGGACATTATGTAAATATTTAAAGGTAAAAAGCATTTAAAGAGGCCACCTCTTCCTTTAATTGTTGGGCCAATTTTTTTCCAGCTTCTATGTAATTGATGAATGTGACCTCGTCAGTATTAATGCTGGCAAGAGTGTCCAGCCACTCTCTTTCAACTAATCCAATCTGACAAATAGAAATTTTCATAAATTGTAAATCTTGTATTTGAATGAAAGCACCAATCCAATTTTGTGACCTCCCCACTGAACAACATGGGTGATCTTTCCATCAGCCAAGGGTCGGCCGGTTTCGTTGTCAAGGACATTGCTCATTAGCCACGGAAAGTTGGTCCTGCTGACCCAGTCAAGCAAGACATCCAGACCAAAATCTGTAACATTTCCAATTAATATTTGAAGATATCTTTGGTAAAATTACTAATACCAAACTCATGATTGCCGTAGACGGCACAATGGACGTTGCACTCATTGAGTACAGGAATCATCTGCTCACCCTTTGTGAAGGTGCTTAGCATGCTGGGGGCGATTGCATCGCCACTGAACAATATGAGGGGATTCAGGTGCTCCAAAGACTTGATGACGTGGACAAACCTGGCAGCGCCTCCCACTGGCTCTTTGTCCGCTGGCTCAACGTTATATACATCGTTGAAGTGGAGAATAGTTATAGATGAAAGTGGCACGTTGGAGCCCATTGTATGGACCTCCACAAAATTGTTTCTCAGGGTGCGCAAGCCTGCCTGACGCACTTCGTGTGACGCCTGAAGCAAAATAAACATAATTCTATATTAATTTGATATTATAAATATTGTAGCTTCATTGCTTCATAAAATAAACGTGGCGGGGAAAAAAGAAATTAAGATATTTACAAGCACTTTTTGTAATTTACATATATTCCTCTATCTTTTGCAGTATAGAACTTGTGAGAACTAAAACAAATTTCTTTAACATGCCTGCAAACTGAGGAAATCTTTGACTCAAATCTAATAGACACAGGCAAATTTCTTATAAAACTGCAACATAAGCAAAGGATTTTGCCTTTGAAATAGCACAACTTTATCACATTGATCATAATATCAGTACAATTTAAGGTATCAGTATTTGGATTCCTTATAATCTATATAATATCATAAGTCAATGAAAATCAATCATAATAATAATAACTTGTACTATTAGAATCGATAAATATAAATATATTTTATAGCTTCAAAAAAGGAATGTATGTAAACAATATGTTTATGTTGTAACAATCAGTAAAAATAATGTGGAAAGGAAAAATACACTAAAAAATCTCAAACTGACCTGTTCACAGCATATATGTATGGCTGACTTGGCGTTTTTGGCCGAGTCAAACAAAAAAACCTTAATTATGTGAGCTTCGTAGGTCAATTTACAAAGCGAGAACGAGAAAGGAACTTACTTTTCCGGCGGCGAGTCCGACTGGCTTACGAGCAGCTCTGCCGAATCAGTTATTAGCACTCATTTCGCTGCTGCGCTGACTGTGGAGTGCTCCTCACGTCTCACGTTGCATTCGGGACGAATTTGGGCTCAATCTAGACCCCACCTACGCACGATGCACTTTGTCAACAAATAAAGCCACTTCTTATCACATTATTTGGGCGTGTCCGATTGTTTTTGTGGGAGGAAAGCGGGAACGATTGAGTGGTCCCGACGGAATTAATCAAAATATCGATCTTATTGAGAGTTTTAATATTTTGGCGATCGAAAAGCTTACATTTCTAGTACAATTGCGGCATGAGGAAAATCGCCGCGTAATTTATTTTTCGATCCGAGCTATGAGCATAAATTCGCATCGAGCTTGTCGCTTTGAGTTTGCTCGGCTGATGCACTCGCGGCGGAGAGCGGCGCGCTCGATTCATTAGACGTTTGCTCGAATTTAATATTTTATTAGTAAGCGTCATTCAAATTAAAAAAATTACAAAGCAAAACGGAAGTGAAATTGAAAATAAAAAAAATTGTACTTGTCCATGAATTAGCTTGTGACACCCATTTTGTTAGTTGTATAGCTGGCGAGCGAATTGCTTGTCAGTTAGCGTGAGCACCAGCCGATAAGCTTTCAAGCTTGGCTAGACTTGTATCATAAAAAAAAAATATCTTTAAAAATAAATAAAAAATAAAAATTTCAGCATTGGTAGTCGACTAAATGAAACAATTTATTATTCACATAAAAAATATTTATCTGGAGCAAAGTTATAAACGTTTCCGCGAGAATTTTATTATTTTGATGTAATCGAGAAAATTTTTAAAAATGAAACCCGTACAGAAAATTGTAGCTATTTAAATTCTTTACAATTTTTTTGACAGACGTTTTGTTGCAAATTTTTCTATTTATTCAACACGAGATTATCAAAATCAAAATATTACTTATTCTCATTGAACACATTTTTTCAATTTTTTTTCTGAGATTAGCCAATCCATTGAAAATTTAATTTTAACCTTAGAAAACTCTAATTTCATCAAAATATGTTTAGCCGTTTTGAAGTACTTTTTAATTTTAAATCAGAAAATGTATATTGATGAAATTAGAGTCCCAAGGTTAAAATTAAATTTTCAATCGATCGGCTATCTCAGAAAAAAAATTTAAAAAAATGTTTTGAATGACGCTTACTAATAAAATATTAAATTCGCGCAAACGTCCAATAAATCGAGCGTGCCGCTCTCCGCCGCGAGTGCATCAGCCGAGCGAAGCGACAAGCTCGATGCGAATTTGCTCATAGCTCAGATCGAAAAATAAATTACGCGGCGATTTTCCTCATGCCGCAATTGTTCTAGAAATGTAAGCTTTTCGATCGCAAAAATACTAAAAATTTCAATCAGTGTGATATTTTGATTAATTCCGTCGGGACCACTTTGTCGGGTTATGCTAAACTCGTTCCCGCTTTCCTTCCACAAAAACAAGCGGACACGCCCAAATAATGTGATAAGAAGTGGCTTTATTTGTTGACAAAGTGCATCGTGCGTAGATGGGGTCTAGATTGAGCCCAAATTCGTCCCGAAATAGACGAAATGCAACGTGAATGAGGAGCACTCTGCATTCAGCGCAGCAGCGAAATGAGTGCTAATAACTGATTCGGCAGAGCTGCTCATAAGCCAGTCGGACTCGCCGTTGGAAAAGTAAGTTCCTTTCTCGTTCTCGCTTTGTAAGTTGACCTACGAAGCTCACATAATTAAGGTTTTTCTGTTTGACTCGGCCAGAACCGCCAAGTCAGCCATATATACATGCTATAAACAGGACAATTTGTGATTTTTTTTTTCAATTAACAACAATTATAATAAAATTCGAAAGTTTTCAAACGTTTGAAGAAGTTGACACTCGAGGAGATGATCATGGAAATGAAGCGATCGGGCTTTTCCTCGTTGCAGAAAAATTGTTTTCATTTTCAATTTTTCTGCAACGAGGAAAAGCCCGATCGCTTCATTTCCGTTTTCAAACGTGTTATATGTTTTGTTGGAGTTTAAAATGTTTATTATATGTACAAATATTGGAGATGTAAATTTGACTGCTTAAATTAACAGAGTGAGCGAATCGAGACTCATTGTCAGTAACAGGGTTTCTGGGGATGGTTTTCCCCTGTTGCACGTGAGAAGGTTTAGTCAAATGTTTGCCCACCCCCACCAAAGATTACAGGCGTGCGAGCACCCTCAATCGATCACATGGTAATTTAATTGTTTCGATATTTTAGTGTACACACATAATGTCTTGTTGCAAAGGCAATTTGGGGACGCACAATATAATGTGTCTAATCGTTAAAAATAAAATTAAAAGTAGGTAAAAGGAAAGATGATTGCCAGAAAGAACAATAAAAAGTGAAAAAAAACGAAAATAAAATAAGCATCACAATAAACAAAATAAGCAACAAAGCAGGTTTAAGTGTTAACGAAATGCTTCAGGAGAAGGTTTTAACCTGCTTGAGCCAGCCCACAACACTCTTGACACCAGTGGTCACCTCCTTGGGCACCTCAAACGACGAGGAGTCAACCAGGTCGGTCCACCTGGATCTGAGGGCCGCTTGAGCAGCGAAACTGGCCATTGTTAGTAAGGCGGGTGCATGCACATTCAATCAAGGTCCTTGATCTGCGCGGCGGCAACTCCTGCCGCTTGTATATCCTTGTAGCAAAAGTTTAGTTTCTTTTTTTTTTAAATTAATAATAATCTAGCTAAAGCGTGAGAGGGATAATGCAAACAAAAACGGTAACAGCTTCAATAGAAATATTTTCACCTAAATCAAATATTCTGATTCAAAAAATGTTTTGCTACTCTATACACATCAGACATGAACTGTACAAATTAACTTAACCATAAGAGTAAATTCCAAAAATACTCTAATATAAATTAAGTAACAAATTTGTAGAAAAAAAAAAACACTTTCACGCGCATTTGAGAGATAAACATAAATAATGCTTTTTGAGCTTAATTGTAACTCTCCATTTATTCTCTATCGTGATATTCCCAGAAAGTTAAACAAGCAGAAAATTATATAAATGGAACTCAAATTGCCCAACTCCGCCGTCTCTGTTTATATTTATGGCCTTTAAAAGATAAATGGCAATCTTGGGAATTGGCCAAAACATTGAGGAGCTTATTATCCTTATCGTTCTTGGTTCCAGACACTGGTTCCAGGGAGTGCAAATTGATATAATGGCCAAGAGGATATATGTCTGACGAAAATTTAATCTTCTCTTCTACACGCGGTCAATAAAACACGTAGACCAACGGCCATTTGTAGGTATTACGCAATAAAATTAAGGCACCGCGGGTACATACGTAGAGCAAATGTTAGCATGTACATTGTACATTAAGTGTGTGGGCGGGAAATCATTACTCTGAAAACAAAATTATTGTCAAAAAAAATGTACAAGTTTTAAATTATTAAAATTGAGACAAATTGTGCAAAGATCGAGTGCTATATAAATTTGTTTTTTTTTTCCCATAAAAAAAGTGCAGCGAATAGTTGGGGTATTTTATCGCCTCTTGGTAAATACTCAGTTATGAGTTTCAGTGAGTTGTTCATTAGCACTTTGTGCCTATTTTTCTCCCAACCAACTTTTCACAATTGATTAGTTCTGACTTGTTTGGAGAAAAATTTAACAGAATTTTCTGTTGTCGGGACGATCAGATTAGAAAAAGATCAAAATTTTCATTGCAAATATAATCTCGCCTTAAATAAATGCAGAAAAACAAAAGTGCGTTGCTGGTCTTTTTATGCAAGCAAAGTTTGTGAAGAGAAACGAGCTTTGTGAACGAGAAGGTATATGAAAGTCTTAGATCATTTTTTAAGTTTTCCTTTATGCCAATTGGAAGAACAAAAGATTGCAGAAGTTGTATATAAGAGGCGAAATAAAGAGACACAGTGCATGAAAAGCGTTACTTTGTCTTGCGGTCAGTTTGCAGCAAATAAAAGCGGAGCTGATGAGAATCTTGGTTCAAAAAGCAAAACAACAGCTGATGCATATGTGGGTCAATTGGGCAAAGACGGCTGGGTGGTGTTGTGCAACAAAGTCGACCGACGACTGTTCTCAACTTCTCACCGATATTCGTAGAGAATAGGCCGGGCAGTTCCACAATTCGACCGCTGCTGGTCCGCCGAAATCGATCCTCACATTCATTCAACACAAATTCGCAAATTTTATGCGACTGACAGATGAACGAGTCCGAAAGGAGTGCCGCACTGCAGTGTTGCCTTTATAGGACTGCGAGGGGTGGGAGACAGCCAGGAGGAGAGAAACACGTATATGATGCGAATGTCATGAGGTCAACCCCTCCCGGTGCTCGCCTCCCAACATCCCTCATTGGTCGCCGCCTCGGGTGCCGTTTTCGCCATTCACCGATTGTCGAGTTGGCGGGAAATAAAGAGTTGAGGGAGGAGTGAGATGCATAAAAAAGATAATTAAAAACGCTTGAAAACTTCAGTTATTACTTGACCTTGTGCACAACGATCGAATAAACTTAATTTGTTCAGGGGGGAGTTTTATAAATTTCGTGTACGATCCTTCTACTTCTGCACTTTTGAGGACAGCAATATATAATGTAAAATTATGTTATCAACTTTTTGGATTTTATTTGATATATATATTATAAATTTAATTCAAAGGCAATGGACCTTAGCGTTGTAAGAAATTTACAATTTGCCATATACTACACTGGCTAGGATTGGTCGAAACAGCTGTCCTAGTGTATGGCAAATTATAATTTTTTTACAAAGGTTCATTGACCTTGAATTAAATATATAACATGTCATTGGTTGTTACTTATGCACATTTCAAGTCTCTCGCACTCCCCTAAGCGCGGATCTTTTTATGGCTCATAGTTAGAGGGGAGGTGATTTTTCCTTTTTTCAACTCAATTATTCTCTCCATTAATATAAGATAATAGATCAATTTTACATCAACCCATATCAAACCAGCGTTTCGAGGAAGTTTTTCATCCCCAGTTATGAAATTGGTGTGACAGCTGCTCGCTTTTCCACTCGGTAAGCAACTCACTATTCTCGAGTGAGCAAGAGAACAAACTTTTGCCAAACTCGGTGCCAGTGCTGCAGCGCAATTTTTCAAAATGACCGCTGGAATTTTGTCTGGACCAGACGTTTGACCAGCGTTTGATTTCATTCCCTGCAGCAGATTATGCACGTCAGCGTCGTCAGCGGTCGAAATCGTAATCTCAGTCAATTTTGGAGAAGTCAAACTTTCTCGCCTAAGAAATGGGAAAAATCCGCTCTCATCTGAGAAATTATTTTGAAATGAGGAATTAAAGTTCGACACAATTTCTTTTGGATCTGTGATAATTTTTCCTTCCCAGAAAAAAGTAGAAATGGATATGGGTACTTTGCTGCGGCTTTTAATAAAGCGCCAGAAATGTTTTGAGCCGTTTTTGCCTCTTCCGAGGTTCCAAAACCAATTGTCTTTAGCTCGTCACAGTTCTTGCTGGGCGCTTCTCCGCGTAGCCAAATATGCCTCCCTATTCTCATTTGTCTTGTTTCCTAACCATTTTTACAGAAGTTTACATTTACATTGACAGAAGTTAATTGAAATATTTAAACATATTAAAAGAAGTATAATTTTAATCATAAATATAAAGGATAACAAAAAAATTATTAATAATATATAATAATAATGGTAATAATAAGGTTCTAAATTTATTTGATTTATTTAAGCCAAATGCAGCACACACCAAAGTCTGATAAAAATAAAACTTAATGAGTTTATATAAAAAATAATAATTATTGAAATAATGAAATCATAGTCATAATTATTATGATTATGATATCATTATTTATTCTTCTCGGTCAGTGCGAAAATTCTAGAAAAAAATTAAAATAGCTCAAAACGTAAAATATTACTACATTGAAAATTACGAAAATTACAATTATTAACATGAAAGGAGTTGTGATACCCTTTCTGCTCATTTTTCCAATTTCAATTTTTGTTTGTATGACTTGAGTAGAATAAGTAATAATAATAATAACATTATTAAATTTATTCGCAGAGGAGAATATAATTCTGGGAGTTGTGGATGGGATCACGAGCACCACCTGCCGTCAAAGTGCACAAACAGCGGTCAGTCGATCGATAGGCGCGCCAAAGTGAAAAATAGGTAAATATGTGAAACACTTTCTGTTCTGTCCTGCCTGCTCACGCTCGCATCTTGAATTTTAGAGGTGACGCTTCAGGTAATACACAATCCCAGCCAAACAATAAAACGGAAGGGAAAGTCACGTGACTCGCTTTATGAACCATGTACGCAACAACAAGTTTGAACAGGAAAGTCAGGAAACGTGTGACGAGTTAGTTGGTGTGTCTGTATTGTGACGTGACTGACGTGTGTCACTGTGTGCAAGCGAACGTCCCCTGATTGTTGTTGCCCTAATAGTGGACTTTTCCATCAAATAACGGTTCATTGTGCTACCAGAGACATATATGTACACGTGGTAAGTTCTTTCTAACTTCTATCATAGACGCTAGTATAATTTTCACCTTGTGCAAATTTGATCCATACAAAGAAAAAGCTGCTATGCTATTATTATAGTGAACGTTAGTTTTCACGACTTCCTTTTTTAAGCTTCGTATAGGCCTTGTGTCCGAGGGCGCTTTGGTCAGAGGGCTTTATTTGTGTCTAATGGAGCTGGGCCAAAAGGCCTTCATAGATTGTCGCCCAAAATCTCCTCTCAACGCTTTTTGTCCAACAGCTTGCACTAAAACTTAAATTACATGCTTTATTTACTTCGTGAAAATTCGTTACCAACATAAAAAGTTTTTAACAAAAATTTAATCAAAATATCCTTATTTTATATTTTAATGTGTAGATTAGATCAGACTAGATCAATATTAATTTATTGCATTAGACATGACATAGTACATAGTACATCTCCAATTTGTCTTTACAAGTCAATAAAATAGCAATAAAAAAAAAATCAGAATATTTTGAATTTAACATTTTTAGTGATTGAGAGAGCTCGCACGCCATTGATAATACGACGGGGGTGGGCAAGCATTTGACTAACCCTATTAAAATACTGCAGGGGAATAAAATTTGAAACAATAAGAGATTTTTTTGCTTAAAAGCGACTTTACCTGCTGGAAAATTTTCAACTTAAAATTTTTGTATTGACCGAGAAGAATAAATAATAATAATAATAAAAACTAATATTTGAACCTAATTTTTTAGGCTCAAATTTAATTTTTAAAATTAAAAAAAATCTTATAAACATTCCATTTCAATTTTAAAATTTTTAATTTTGTTAAGCATTAAATTACAACTGCAATAAAACTTTTTAAAATAATTCAAGATACATAGCATTATTCAAACGGTAAAATTTCTCGTCATTTTCAAGGGTTTTCAAATTTCTAGGCAGATCATTGAAGATTCTTGGGATCATATAGTCAGGGCTTACTACAGATTTTTTAAGAGTAACTCAGATTCAGATTGTACCAACTTGTTTGGAGAAAAATAAATTGAATTGAATTGAATGCGCTGCCTTAATTTAACAAAAAGGTACGTGGTACGTGGATCGATATACCTGATCGCATTGGGTGCTCCAGTTCATTGTATCAGAGAGCATTACACCAAGTATTTTTGCTTGATTTACCACTTCTATTTCTCGTCGTTAATTCTGATTACAGGTGGTTCCAATTTACTAGTTTGAGCAGTATGCATTTGCAGCACCTGAGTTTTCTTTTCGTTCAATCTTAAGCGGTTTTTACTGGCAAAATCAATCATTTTGTCATTAGCCACAGCAGTTTTTTCGGGAGACCCGCATTGCCCCTAATTTCAAACCTCCTAAATGTTTCAAAAATTATTTGCCCTAAAATATTTCCCCTAAAGTATTTGTCCTAAATTATTTTTTAATTTCCCATAAAATGCATTTACTCGAAAATGCATTTGTCCTAAATCATTTCCCCGAAAAGTACTTCATTATTCTAGGCGATTTTCAGGAAGGTATATAAATCTATATAAAACTGAGGCAAACCTTAAAAAAACAAAGCAGATGATAATGGCTGTGTCTTTGCCAGTGGTGGCGTTTCAAAGTGTGTGTGTGTTCACTGTAGAAATTTACATTTTTTTTTTATCAAGAATATTTATATTTTTAGTCAATGCTTATGAATTCTTTTTTAATATAATTATTTTTTATGATTAAGGTGAATAGAAGCACTTTTACTTTAAATTTATTAATTATTTCCGATATGTTAAAGACAAATTGAAATTAATGAAATTAATAAACAAAGCTTCATCAATTTTCTAACATTTAAACTCTAAATATCCAGTTCTGTATAATATCTGCGAGCAAACCACTAATTCTTTTTAATATTTTTTTGAATTGTGCATTTTAGAGAATAAAAATATATTTTAAAGCTTGTTTGAATTGGGCAAAATAGTGTTTAGTTTTTGTTTTTAGTCTATTTTTCCGATGAAAGATGAAATAGTCGGTTTTTATACAATTTTGTTTTTCCCCTATCGATGAAGGTTGACAAAAATTTATTATAAGTTAACTAGAAGTGATCAGAATGGGCTGTCCAAGATTTTTTTACTTTTAGGGCAAATGTTTTTAGGACATTTACTTTTTAGGGGATTTGGAGTGAAAAATTTAGGACATTTCATTTTAGGGAATTTGTTTTTAGGGCAAATGAAGATATTGGTTTTAGGACAAATGAATTTAGGGGCAATAACGGCGACTCGTTTTTTCGTTCAAGGCTTTGTAGTTTCTAGCCTTTACAATGAAATATGAATCATCTGCGAACAAGATAAGAGCGGCGACATAAGGGCATATCATTACCGTAGGAGGAATAGCCAAAAGGGCCCAATACACTGTTCCTTGTGGAACGCCAATCGAGACATTTTCCATTGTTGACTCAAATAATTTTTGCTCGCCATTTTCACCCACACCAAAAAGTTGAACAAGTTGTTTTCTATCAGTAAGAAAGGACTTTAACCATAGGAGGGATGCATTATCAATTCAAAATTTTTTCAGTTTTGCAAGTAGTATTTCGGGAACGACACACCCAAAGGCATTAGAAAAGTCATACAGAATCACATTGATTTTTTTCTATTTTCCAAAGAATCATTGTTTACACAATAAGCGGGCAGTGTACTTGAATATAGAGTTCACGAGAGAATGTCTCCAGTGGAATCACCATACGGACGTGGTGCGTGCAAAAGCAGCCCAAAATCTTGGCTTTGCTTCGAGAAATTTGCACGGGTGCTCTCCGCTTGTAAAAAGAATTGCATATCTCACGCTTGTAAAGCCGGGTCTTTTTTACGGAAACCCAGCGTGGCACCCAAGCACGCGTTTTTACGAAATCCAATCTGTTTGGGCACCGCGAATTTTACCAACCATTCATTGGCAAAATAGCTCAGTACTTAACTTCTTTTTCTTTACAAAATGAATATCAAATTAATATTTGACAATCATGACGTGTGATTTTAAATAATTTCCACGGTCAATTGTGTAATATTTATTGATTTACAAAAACGTTTTTACACAAGTCAAAATTGCGTGCGTTGGCCACAGTGGTCTGGTCTCTACATAATATGCCAACATCTTGCTCCATGGATAGTTTTGTGGAATATATTTACAAAAAATTCACCCAATAATGTGGCACCTACTGTAGTGTGAAGGTGCTGACAGCGCTTTAATTGCAAGACATTGCGTGTTCAAATCCCACAACAGTAAATTTTTGCAGATTTTTTTACAGATATTCTATTTGTAATTTACACTTTTTGATATTTTTTTCCCACTCAAAATGATCATTTAAAGCCGACATAAACAATATATTAACTAAATTTTTAGTTTTTTAACTTTCAAAATTAAAATCTTTCGTGGTGTCCACGTAGGTTTTTATTCGGGATTTTCTTGTACATTTTTGTACGATGCAGTAAAAAGAAGGGTTGATAAATAAAAAATAATTTTCGACCAATTTCCACGCTTTAAAATCGTAAATAAAAACCTTCGTTTTGTTTATATAGAAAAAATAATATAACTCCAAAACAAAGCATGCATGATAAAATAAAATTGCAAATAAAAAATTATCGTACATTACACCTCAAGATAATAAAGCATTAAGGTTATTCTTCAAGCTTATTTTACGAAGGAAAATAAAAAATCTTTATTCTTAAATATATTCAATATGCTTTAAAGATATTGGAAATAAATTTTCAGGCACTTGAGATGCATAATTAATTAGATAATTAAGTTTTAATGTTAAAACTTTGAGTCCTTGTTTAGGTCGTTTGTGAAGAGATACGTCACTAGGAACGCGTAGATATAATCTTTCATATATATTACATCATATCAACAAGTTTGATTGATTAATATTTAATGGAACACAAGAAATTAGCACTTTTACCATTTCAATTTTTTACAACAAAAAGCTGCTATTTTTGTTCCATGCGTGAAACCACTTTTAACCCACTTGCAATTATTGGACTTGTTTGAAATTTGTTCACATAATACTACACACAAGTGGCTTTCATGTGAAGTTTTTTTAATCTTCCTATGATAATTATAGCTTATGATTCAAGTTCACAAATTTGTGCATGTTTATTTGATAAAATTTCGGGTCGTTTAGTCCCAAATAGAGGCACGCTCGCGCTTCGATCGCTCGCGCACCCAACTCTTGCACAGCAGGGGTCCCATCCACAGCTAGAGCCAGACAAAAGGTTTCCTCTCCCAATGCTTTTGCCCCAAGCGACCGATTTGATTTTCGTCCACTGTCCTTTTTCTCTCTTTTGCTCGCTTCGCTCCTACTTGATTCCTGTATTTTTCTCATGCTAAAGTCCAAGACTCTCGACAGGACTGTTAAATAAAATTATTCTACCGAAAGCTTGAAAATGAGAATATCTTGAGATTTTTTTTTTTTAAATTTTCACATTGATTATAATTTTGAAATTATATTACATATTTTATAAGATAATTTAGTGTTTTAGATAATTTTAGTGTTAAAAAATACCTCAAATAGTAGTTTATAAACTTTACAAGTGCATTTTTTTAATTGAAAAAAAAAAACATTTATAAAACATATTTTTCAAACTGCGTAATGTAAAAATTATGGCAAAATTAAAAAAGCAAAATTTAAATCTTTGCCAAAATAAAAGTTGAA